CGTTTAAAATAGGGTTATGTGTGATGACGTTTATACGTTTTTTTACGGCCAGCATAGGCCAACTTAATATTTACGGAACAGGAAAATGAGTAAACATTGCAAATTCTGTATGATAAAAGGAGGAACTGTCAGTTAGAGTTGAGGAAAACGATGGCATTTGTGGAGGTTTAGGTCAAGTTCAGTAAAATTAACAAATACACTGATGAAAGGTACCGAAATCCCGAACGAACTCAAGCCATACTCAGGTGTAGCATCATGATGATGCTATGACCGTGCGCTTCCTTTATTAACGCAACACATGAGAGAGCAGAAAGTGGAAGCTTACTGTTCGAATGACATTATTAAACCTTGCTTCGACTCCGCATAATCTCTGTACTGCTCTTCTTGCAGCGTTAACGCCAATATATCGTGAAATGCTCTCACAAAGGTCCTCCTGTGGGTCACCCGAAAGCATACAGCCTGACTTTCAAAATGTGCCTTGGTCGACTAATTAATGTAAAGTACCGTCTTCAAGGCAGTCGCAAATAATAAAGAGAAGATCATAAGTTTGATACAAACTCTTTTTCTTATCCTAACAAAACAAAATCAAATGTTTAGCTTTTTTTTAAAGGCAGAGAAGCAAGCAATAATCAAGTTAATTTTGGAAAAATTTACAATTTCTTAAATCTACTAATGCGAAGTATTACGAGTAAAATTGTTAGTTATGCTAGAACTTGTGGGACTGCAAAATAAAACTGCACCAGGATGCAGTATTATGAACAAATTTCTTAAAATTTTAGTGAAAAATCAGAATACAAAATGAAATGGAAAAATGGAAGCAGTACTGATGGTAATGAGAAGTGAATGGCCGAGACAAATATGTTGTTAGGTGACTGATCATTTACAAAATACTTGGGTGAGATTGGACTATTGAAACTGTAAGTTAAATGACAGCACATCGAGGAATTATGCATGGAGGATTGAAAGGTAGGAAGTAACCACATCGGCGAATGGCTAATTCAATTCACACATGATTGAATAAATTGATATTGCAAAAAATAAAGATTAAAATGACAAAATTCATGAAGGAATTTTGGCATGGAAAAGTTGATGAAAGAATTGAATAGAACGTCGGGTGGCTTATTCATTTCAGGCATGGTCGTGTGAACAGGGATTATGGAAAGTGTGATTGGATTACAGAAATGCAGGACAGAATCATTACTTGGAGGAGTGAATAGTAGACAAGAAACGTAGCCAGATTACTTATTCATTTCTAACATGATTGAATTAACTGGGATTACGGAAATGTTAATTGGATGGCAAATTACATGAAGCAGCAATGGCATGGAGGAGTAAATGGTTAAATGGACCATTTTCCAGGTCGACTGATTCATTTTATGCATGGCTGAGTGCATTGAGATTATGGAAAATGCGAATGGATGCCGAAATGCATAAGGAAATTGTATACTGGTGGTGTGAATCGCAGAAAGAAAACTTTTCCTCTAATATCCTCTTCACCTTGCATGTGATGGCGTAAATGGGAATTACGAAATGGGCAATGGGATGCCGAAATGCATGAGGGGGTGGTAAAATGTAGGAAGGCTGAATTATTTTACACATGGTTGATTTTATTGGAAATACGAAAATCCCAGATAGATGTGAAACTACATAAAGAATAATGGGATTAGGGATAAGTGGTAAAAAAGTAGATCGCTTGATGCCTTTTTTTATTTCTCACATAATTGAATGAATTGGGATTACCGAAATGACGATTAGATGAGGAAAAGCTCATACGAATTTTGGCGAAGCGATGTGAACGATAGAAAGGAGCGGATTGCTCGATGATGGATTCATTTCTCTCATAGGTGATTGTATTAGGATTGCGTAAATTGAAATTGGATGGCAAAATGTTTGGATATATGATGGTATGAAGGACCAAAGTGTAGGAAAAAACACATCTTAGAATGAATTATTCATTTCACACATAAATGAATGAATCGGGATTACGGAAACTAGGATTGGATAGCTGAATGCATGAATGAATGATGGCATGGAGCATTGAATGGTAGAAAAGAACAGGTTTTCGGATGACGGGTTCATTTCACTCATGCTTAATCGAATTGGGATTACGGAAAGGGCGATTGGATGACAAGATGCATGAAGTGAAAGTGGCATGACGGAGTTAAGGATAGACAGGAACTGACCATCTACTGATCTGTTGCACAAACGATTGGGAGAATTAGGATTATGAAATGGCAATTCGGTGAAGAAATGCATATGTAGAAATGATATGACGTGGGAAATGATTGTCCAAAGGTGCAAATCGTCTAAAGACTAATTCATTTCACACGTGACTGAGTGAAATGCGACTGCGGAAAGGGAGAATGGCTGGCTAAATGCATGAAGGAATGATGGAATGTTGCAGTGAATGGTAGAAAGAAGCGTATCGTCAGATGACTGGTTCACCTCATACATGATTGTGTTAGTTGGGACTAATGAAATGGTGAATGGATGACGAAATGCATGAAGGAATGACGACGTGGAAGTGTGCATGGTAGAAAGGAACAGATCGTCTGATGACGGATTCATTTCACATGTGGATAATTGCATTGAAATTGCGTAAATTGCGATTTGATGACAAAATCGTGAAGTAATGAGGGCATAAAGGAATGATCGTTAGAATGGAAAGGAACGTTAAATGATTTATTCATTTTACCCACGATCGTGTAGATTGGGATTTTAGAAATGGAGATTGGATGCCGTAATGCATGCAGTAATGATGGCATGTAGGTGTGAGTAGTAGAAATATACGGAGCCTGAAAGACTAGCTTATTTCATACATGATTAAGTGAATTGGGATCACGTAAATTTGGATTGGAAGGCCAAATGTGTGAAGGAATGTGCATGGAGGAGTAAAATGATGAAAATTATCAAATCTTTTAATGATTAATCCATTTCACACATGTTTGGGTAAGGTTAGATTACGAAAGGGAAAACTGGACGACGATATTCATTAAAGAATTTTGACATGAAGGCGTAAAATGGCAGAAAGAGAACAAACTGCAGTATAAGTGATTCATTTTACTCAGGCTTGAGTAAATAGGGGCTTGTAGAATGGGCAACTGGATAAAAAAATTTATGAAGGAAAGATGACATGGGGTAGTAAAAGGTAGAAAAGAGCAGACAGTCAGATGTCAGTTTTAAATCACACATAATTGCGCAAATTAGGTTTACGGAAATTGGGACTGAATAGCGAAATGCATGAAACGATGGTTGCAGGAGGGGTATATAGTAAAATCATAACATAATTGCTTGATTGACTCCATTGATGCATAACTGATTCTACTGGGATTACGTAAAGTGCGATTGGATGACAAACTGCATGAAGGGACGTTGGCACGGAGGAATAAAATTGTAGAAACTAGGGGATCATTGATGACTTACCTCTACGTGAATTTAGGGAATTGGAATTACGGAAACTGCTATGGGCAGAAAAAGAGCTTGAAGGTATGGTGGTATGAAATTTTGACTGGTATAAAGGAACAGATCGTCGAGCGAATAGTTTCATTCGCAAACAATGTACTAAATTGTGATTACGAAAAGGGCGATAGAATGACTATGTGCATGACGTAAAGTGGCATGAAGGAGTCAACAAGGGTAGATGGGAACAGATCGTCGGATGACTGATCCATTTCACACATGACGGAGTCAATTGGAATTACAAAAAGGGTGATTGGTAGACAAAATCCTCGAAGGAATGATAAAATATGGGTGTGAATGGTAGAAAGGTACGGATTGTTGGATGTCCGGTTCGATTCATACATGATTGGACAAATTAGGATAACGGAAAGTGTGATTGAATAGCTAAATGCTTGAAGAAATAATAGCATTGAGGACCGAATTGTAGAAAGGATCAGATTTTGGATGATTTACTTTACACATGATTGAGTGAATTGGTATTACAGAAAGGGCGACTGGATGGCGAAATCATGAAGGAATGATGCCACGTAGGATCGAATGTTAGAATGGAACAGAGCGTCGGCCGATTTACTTATTTTACACCTGATTGCATGAACTGGGATAACGAGATGCTTGAAGGCATGATGGCGTGGAGGAGTGGATGGTAGAAAAGAGCACGTCTTTGGTTTACTACTTTATTTCTGGCATTATTAAATGAGATCGGGGTTTTTAATTTAAGATTGCATAACGAAATTCAGTAAGGAATAATGACATGCGGGATTGAAGGGGAGAATGGAACAGACCGTTGTTTCTGTTTTATTTGTATTTGAGCCCATGAATTTAGACCATGTATAGGGAATATTCCGCGACAAAAAGATGATTTTAATTGGAGAGAAGTTTGGATTTAAACAGCTTTCTCAATTAAGGCTCTATTTTACTCTTGTTTTATGTTTTTGTGCTAAAGAAACTTACTGCTTTTACAAAGTCTTAGGATTTTAAAACTTAATAATGGCATTGTTTCTTGATTTGCTAAACGTTTCAGTTTATTGAATGTTAAATTTATTTATCGTTTGGCCAAATGTGTTTCTGCTAGGATTTTTAGGTGTTGCTTGCGAGTGTATCAGAAATGCTCTTAGGAATTACGGCATGGAGAAGTAAGTGTTGAATGGATTTAATCGTCAAATTTGGTTAAATCTTCTTAATATATTCCCAGCAAGACGAAAACTTGCTCTCATATTCAAATAGACAAAAATTACGACTCCTGAAACACAAAGCCTGTCCAGAACTAGTTTTATTTCCGTCTCACATTTTCTTCCAGTAGTCCTCCCCTCTGTGGAATGGATGCTTTATATCAATTTTAAGGTAAATTTGTAATCTTTACTTCTAGAAATATAGGTCTGACTCTGAAGATGAGGATGAGGAATGAGAATTGCCTTCTTACCTTTCTCTTTGCCCCCTTCCCTGCCATCGTTAATGAAATGTACATCTCACTGACAAGTTTTGCTTTGCCTTAGCGTGCAAGATTTTGTATTACCTTGTAAGAAGAATAATAGGTTTTCCGGTTAAGGCCTCTTCCACTATTCCCGGCTAATTCTCAAGAAGCCAGATTTTGTCTTGCACACCTTCATTCATATTGAGTTGCAAAAATTAGATACATCGCAGCCGTAAATGATGTTTGGTATTCAGCGAGCTGACGACACCTAGGGGACGAATGGATCTGCAGACCACCACACACACATGAATTAGGCGCAGTTTTGTAGTAGGGACATGGTGGGTGTTTTAAAAGTGTAGAGTGGGAAGCAAAGGTGATGAGCAGATCGTTTGGCGCTAGCCAATAGCACGACCGCTCACTTAATAATGCTAAAATATAAAACCAGAAGTCCTGTGTTTCCTCATATGCCAATCCGTCTCCTGGTCATTCGACAAGCAGCCTCTTTCCAAGCTGTACTTTCGTAGCCTACTCGAAGGAGGTGCAGAACGTAGACTCAGTATTCTTTCAAGCTTATCGCCACTTTTTAATGCATCTAGTATCCATTTGCTTAGTGAACTCCATAACATTCCCTCAACACTTAAATGTGGCTTTAACTAATCGTACATCTCGTGTTAACGCTTCACTGGTGTATCGCGACTCATCAAAGTAAAGAAGGTAATTCATCTCTCTTCAACTGATTCACTACCAGTAATTTCTTTAATTTTTGGTGGTGTATTTCAGCAGTAAATGCTACATGAATTTCGCGAAGGTTTCTGTCGCCTTGGAACCGAGTGGAAACTTGCTTCGGAAGGTAGGCAAGGTGGAGTAGCTTCCATCAGCTTATTTCAACCGCTGTTATGTGATGTGGTAATCCAAAGAAGCAGGGAAATGTGGTCAACTACGATAAAGAATGGCCTACAAATATGCTGGCGGACGTCTGCTCCTGTCTTACCATGCATGCGCACGAGTAATCACGTACATTTTACAGGTGCTTACTAGCCATTATAATATGAGATACCGAATAACCTCCGACCCTTAACGAAGCGTTCTTTCATAATTATGGTTTTAGAATTTATTGGAAGATTTGTTTCAAGGGATACTCGTTTTGCTTAAAAGCTTCATTTTCCATGTTGTACAAGGTCATAATACCCACTTATGTGATTTTAATCATTTGCACTTTTTCATGAAGTTACTTTTTTAAAAGCCCGTTTCCAATTTGTTTGGTTGTTGGAAGTTGACGTAACATTTGGCTGATTTCTCTGCGTCAACGGTGAATAGAATTTCGTCCTTTTAAACTACAATTTGCTAATAGTCATATTTTACATAATTTGAAATGATTCACAAATGTAATACTGATGAGAAGAAAGCATTTCTAAGTGGGACGAAAAGTAAACAACAAAGATTTTACCATTTCATAACACAAACTTACCCACAAAATTGTTAATAAACGCGAAAAATTTCACTTTTACTGTGTAGAACTTTTTATTTACGCTAGTAAAAATAATATTAACATTTACTAATGGCCCGATTTATTTGCTTTATTATTTTTTATGCATTTTATCTTGTTGTGATGCTCTTTTGTAAAAGTGCATAGTAGACTACCGACGTCTGGTAGATAAGTGCATGCTGGATGAGTAAGTAACAGCACAACGAGTAAATCCATTATGGTTTTAAAAGAAAAGCACTTTATAGCTTCTAGCCTAAAACGGATAATATATCCACAGTAAGCAGAGCGGCGCCATCTGAAATCATCGTAAGTAGCTCCTGCGTTCGGTTCGTAATCTAATGTCTATCATTACACTAATTAGGTGAAGGTCTAAAACGCTTATTTATTGCGAGAGAAAATGGCTTTTATTTAACGCATAGGAGACAATGCGCTTGTTGTTAGACTCCTTCCATTCTACTCTCCCATAGCTCATTGCAGATCTCACTTGGTCAAATATTGCCTTCCTTGGCGGACACAATCCTTCTATATTTTAACTAAATCTAGAATATTAATGAAAACTTTTTTCTTTAAACCTTTTGATGGAACCGTAGAATGGAAGAACTAATACTTTTTCATACCTGACCCCACCACACTTTGTTGAGCTTGGAATATTAAAAGTCTATTAATAGACAATATCACAGCCCAACTAGAATTTTTCCATCTTTTTACATTAATGGTAATTAATGTGACGCCTTTATCTTCCAATTGTAACGTGTTGTTACTTCCCATAAGACTCCGTGGATCTTCCAACCCTCGAGTCGCTCACCAAAAGAGCTCTTACTGTCCACCCATATCACCTTCCCTGGTTTCTCTCTATAATATAAGTATGTCTATACTAAAGGTTCCTATTCCCTATATTTCCCAAAGACTGCTGACAGAGTGATAAAGTACTATCGTAAATTCAAGATAACAGATTATCCCATGTCTATAGTTAAAATAAGCTAACGTAAACGGGGTTTCCAGCCATTCAATCTGCGATTAAAAGGCTCAACATCCCGCGTTGGTTTGTTGCATACAATACGAGGAAGAATTGCAAACCCATTATTTATAATTATTATTAAAAGCATAGAAATGAAATTGACAATTTGACGCACCTCAGAAGTGTAATTTAGCCAAATCTAAAAGTCGAAAAGGTACCTTGTTTAAATCAGGCAAAAATAATTGTGCGTAAACTTATAAAAACGAAGGGAAAAAGTTCCGACAGAAGTTCATTTAAACAAATGCTCCGAAAGCTTAATTAAGATACAGATATCGTCCTTTTATTTGTTTCAAGAAAAGAACCGATCTCAAAAAATGGTCGATCCTTTTCAAGAGGGACTTAAATTAAATGCAAATTATTGGAAATTAAAAGACTAAATGAACAATATAGAATTGTATTCAAAAACGGAGAAGAATTGACAAAGTTGGGGCTGAAAAGTCTACATTAATACAAGCTGAGAAGAATTCTTGGATATCTTTGGAGAATGGAAATTAAACCGGAAGTGAGGAGCGAAAATTCGAAGTATTTTTGTCAAGGCTCTAGAGATTCTACTGATCACAGGACTGAAGGCTTGATTTGAAATTCAAGGGTTTTGAGTGAATGCGCATTACAATAAAAATGCCATCTAGAATGGTGGATATGTCGGATCTCAGGCATGGCAACTCGCCCCTACGTCTATCTCAAATTTAAAAAATGTCTTTTAATGATTGACTTCCCTTGTATATGAACCATAAAACCGAAGTTTTTTGTGATGCAAAATATCTTACTATGCCAGTGAATGCGGGCTTATTGGCAAAACTTTCCCTCTGTTATTTAAACTACCGCTTTTGTTTTAGGCTAATTAGAATAAATGAGTCGAGGCCGATTAACTTATTTTACAAGCGCAGCATTCTAACATAATGAAGTTAGATTAGTTGTCACTTTTAATGTTTGCTATATAATTGATAAATACTGCCTCATAAGTTAAAAAGAGGAAATATTAAATTTCCATTACTCGGTGTAACTTTGTAAAATAAAAAAAAAGTATGCTTGAGTAGTAAGCTTGAAGTAAAAAGTGTGTATAGTGCGAATTGCACAACTAACACTTAGTATTTTATGTATAATTTGCTTAGTTTTTTGGGTAATTTGACATCAATACACTCTTTAATATTCCCCAATAAATAAGTCGTTCTGATTTTCTCTATGATAAGTAAATAAATTTCTGTAAATTAGGAGGAGGATAATGAAACTGTAAAAATGGTTTAAATAAAGTAAAAAAAGTAAATGGCACACCTGGGGCGACCAAATATCATGTAGTAGGAGTTAAGGGCAGCAACGTATTTCTCCTTATCTTTCAGACTCTGAAACTTCTTCAACCGTTCGAGATATTGCGGCAGCGAGGGCACCGTTGGGTGACTCTTCTTGTTCATCCTATCACTCACCATCTGCTCCTCGCCATCAATATCAGGATCATCCATCCAGTAAGGCCAGAGGTTTTCCTCCTCTATGGGTATGAATCTATCTCGAAATTGCGAAGTGGAATGTCGATAGGCACTCGAAACTTGGAGTAAACCTAGGCAAAGCGTGGCAGTGAGTAGTGAGGATATCGTCATGAGGGACATGCTTAAAGGTGTACTAGTCGAAAGACGGCCTCCACCTCCTCTTATAAACGCCTCGAAACCAATCAGCGCACGCAGATTGAACAGCATATAGTAGCTCTAAACAGCATTAAGAAGGCCTTTTTTAATTTAGTATATTTTATATTTAAAAAATTGAATAGATTTGCACTCGTACCCTATGGCCATAGTAAAACGCTGACTTTTAATTAGGCAGTTTGGGCAGACGTTTTTAGAAAATTACCAGGGGTAAACCGCACTGAATGGGAATAACACTTGCACCAGAATTCCGAGTCTAGTTTGATGTAGAAATATTTGTTCGGGGATTTCGTCAATGCTGTAGTCAGTTATAATTTTTGATAAATATGAACAAACTTGTAGTGCGCAGCCTACGATTTGGCTGCATTTGGGGAAAGTTAATGCAAAATGGGATATAGACATACAAATTGGTAAGAGGAAGTCCAATTACGTCATAATGAAGCACTGTGAGTAATCTAGAGTATGCTTGATAAAGGAAAAGGTCGGAGGATATTTGGTATCTCACACTGTAATAACTGGTAGGCACATGTAAAATGTACGCGGTTGTTCAATTGCATGCATGATAAGGCAGGGACAGACATCCGTTCGTATAGCACTTGGCACTGAAATGCACCGCCAAAAGATGGTCAAACGGATTGATTGAATCACTGGTGGTGAATCAATTGAAGAGAGATGTATTACCTTCACTATGTAGAGTCATAAGGCACCAGTAGAGAGTTAACACGAGATGAGCGGTTAATTAATATTTACGTCAACTAGCAAACAACAAAATTCCTCATATTTCGTACCACCAACTAATTTCACGTACAAAATGTTACACATTTAAATAGGATGGGGAGAAGTGAGAAATTCCCTTGCCTATAGTCGCATCCACCTCCTCATAACCTACATTAAGTTTAGGTAATGCTCATCACGTTTCCTTAATACTAGCAATGCTATGCGTAGCCGAATAGACAGACGGAAAATAAAAGTGGGATAATAATGGTAAACTGATGAGTCGGGATAAATTTTGGGTTCCACAGCCAAAACCGCGTGAGATTCGAAGCACATTTGTGCTTTATAGATTTCAATTGGCTATTTTAACAAATAAAACTTCTTCGGATTTCCGAAATTAATTTTTTATGAAAACTGCACACAATTTCAGTCATACCATCCATTAAAAGTGTCCCAGAAAGGAACCTCCTGCACGATTGTTTCCTTTAAAAGGAGAATAATTCCACCTTACTCCTCAAAACTATTTGGGCAGTTTTGTTATTACTTTTATGTCAATTTTGAATTGTTTATCCATCCAGCGACATTGTCTCTAAGTGTTTGGAAAGCTTTCAGTTTCTCCATCTAGTGAGGTAGAGCCTAGCTTAATTGAAAGTCATGCCGAAAAAGCACCCAAATTGTGTCAAAGTCAGCGAAAATAATCTCTAATTTCACACCATAATTATGGTTTTACGTGTGCCATTATATAGACGTGCGTTTATGTTTCCTTGTTAATGTTGGTATGGTTCATTTCGACGTAAAGACTCGTTTTGCCGAATTGCAGGCTTTTGATTAAAAAGCTGGAAATCAAGACAATAGCTTCGAGTCGACGAATTTTTTGGCAAGTCTTGAAAATCCAATGGTAATTTTATTATGGTTAGCGGCAATTTGATGACTCTGACTGGGAATTCAACACGAGCTGTGGGCTTTTCACATTGTAAAACAATTCTAATTCTCATTCTCAGACTTCATCTGCCAACATTTCTTTCCCAAAGTTTTAGCAAACATTCATCTGTGGTAATATAACATTGCTTTACTGTTGACTATCTACAGGAAGCACTACTGGTGTTTCAAGTAGGAATTACATTTGAACAGGCGGACTAATTTCTAATTAAAATGCCATAGAAGGAAGCGTCACTGCAAATGGATGGGTTTGTGTACACGACAAGGCCTGAAGTGCATACGCCGAAATTTGGAGTGCCAAAATATAGTCCCTCTTTCGTTGCTAGAGGCCAAAAGTGGCTTGAGTAAAAGGCTGAGAATTTCTCAAGTTGCAAAGTAATTAGAAAGAAGGAATGACATAAAGATGTGAAACCCGATGAGCCTGTATTCTCATTCAAGTTTTTTCCAAATTTCCTTTACTGACGTCGAACATGCTAAACATTCGAAGGAGGACCACAAAAATGTCATTAAAATTTGATTAAGAGTCAAAAATGCGACTTGTTTTTTGATAAATGTTCTAAAAGAAGAAACTGGTGCACAAAATTTGTTTGTTGTAAAATATGATCCAGTCTTGGATAAACTTAGGAAGGTACTCCTCTTTGCACACCTTAAATTGGAGAAAAAAAAATCAACACTGTTAGATACAGGGCCGACTTGCTTTGATGCGAACTCATTGGATGTTTGTCTTGTGGCTGGTTGTGATTCTGTTGAATCCACTGCACTCGCCTCATAGGAAGATTAACCATCAGAATCATCGAGAAAGACACTATGCAAACTTTAGAGTCTTCCGCTGCCCGAAATTACCGCCGATGGCCCAGTGCTTCACTATGGCCTTCGGAACAGGAATAACAAAGCAGTTTTCATACTCTTATGCTTTTAACGCTTCCATGGGTGACCCGAACGCTGGGACTTTAAAATGAGTGCTTGATATGAAGGAACTGCGATCCAGTGAATGCAAATAAATTTTGAAAGCTTAAATCATTTAAGGCGTTCTGAGAAAATATTGTCTTGCCATAATGCTTTGAATAATTGTGAATAAGGGGATTGAAATACAGCGATGTAACCATCCAGGGGATTAGCACGGAGAATTGGAGTTAATAAAACATTGCTTAAATATGTATATAAGGAAGTGAACATACCTGATGACCTTAATAATGGCCTTCTCTTTGAATTTTGGCATTATCCATTCTTATTGCCTTCATTTGCTATTCATGATGATGCTGAGACCATAAAAATTTCATTACATCACGCAAATATCATAAATAAACATCTTTGCAGCAATCTAGTTGTTGTATCAATTCCCGTCTCAGTAGAGAGCTTATAATTTCAATGTTTTGGCAGCTGATCGACAAGATCTGTACTGCTTCCCGTGCGCCCAACAAAACCGGGATTGTGCGTTTGGAAAAGAAGGTTGGTAAATGCTTTCAGATTGGTAAGCTTTTAACTCAACGAATTGTTCCGTTTAAATTCACAACAAGGGACTCAACGCTAGGATTGAGTCAATCCAGCAATAACAAGGCCTTGGCATAGTCGCGAATATCTTGTACTCATCACATCCACTAACTCATGATAGCAATAAAATGAAGTAAAAGTAAGGAAAAGAATTTAGCACTGCGACTTTTACCACATAATTTAATTTACAAGGTTTTATAGTCCAGATGCTGGTTTATTATGACACGTTTTGAGGTTACCGTAGTCCTTTCCGAAGGGTATCTTTCTTGGTCAGTGTGAGATTAACAACAGCAACTCCTAAATGCCATAATTTGTACTGGAATCGGAAGGGGTAGAAATGCGTAAATTCTGCACAAGTAGGTTAATATATCTTCATTGGGCGGAATCGCTGTCCACGTACAGGTGAATACCTATATTTTTAAAAACAGCATTCCGCCAGAGCCTGAAGTGGTTACTCCTGGACTGCAAAACTTCTGCTGAATCTCGACCATGCCCGTTTAGTCCATAAACACAACTGTTGAATGTGTGTCAAACTCCTTCTGGATGTGAAGCGTAAAGCACTGTAACATCGTGTCAAGAGGCCATCCACATCAAATTTCAATTTCTTCAATCAGATTACTTACTCTAAAATATTAAATTCAGTGCCGACGATTTTAATATTCTTAATGTAAAAGTATTCAAAATCAGTAGCAGTGAGGTTTTAGCATAAAAAAACCGTACTTAAATTCAAATTTATTAATTACAACCAGTAATCTGTGCAAGAAAAACGAAAAAAAAGTTAATGAATGAAATCAGCCACCGTGGTGATTATCACTGAGCCGGATGCTAAATTCTAAAAGGCATACGCTTTTATTGCCAAGATCAGAAAAGCTGTTCAAATTGTCGCAGCTAGTAGGCAGAGGTGCGATCCAAATATTTTGTCAAAGAATTTAACATTTTTTACCTTGCCAGCCAAGATTACAGTTTTCTGCATTTAGTCTTATGAGTTTAATTGAGCGAAGGTGGATTGAGACAGTTATGCGATCATACAACAACGTCAGTCTATCCGTACGGTGCCCTTTAAAGTGATATTTTTCTCTCATCGTGATCCCTCACCTCATGGACTATCTGTTAAATAAACGGACAGAAGTGGCTGAGGATTGTTTAGCTCATGAATAAGGTTTTAAGTACATCTTATCATATACTTTGTTTAGTCGAAATATTGTAAAATCTTTGCATTTGGTAATGAGTCACTAAAACCGCCTCTTTTTAGTGAAAACGGAGAATTGTAAGTCGATATTGAGAGAAATCACCTGAGCATAATGTTTCAACAACTTTTATTCTTTCTGCACGTAAGCGACAGTGAAGCAACTTGTTGCCGGCGCTATTAAAGGGCGGGCGAATGTTTTGAAATCTACACATCTAGTGGGTGCAACGTAAACTAACAGCGACCATTAATACCATTTTCTTCACTTTCTTTAAGTAGGTGACGAAAGCACACTGTTGGATGGAGACTTCACTCAAGTGACCAAAAAAAATTGACCAGTGATGAGCAATGGGACTTGCGGTTTTGTGGTTAAACATTACTTAAGTGGGCCGCTCTACCATTCGTCATCGTCAAACAACCCTCTTACTCCACATATTTTTCACCCAAGCTTTCCAAGACGTACATCACATTGTCATCACAGAGCTAATATTCATTCAGTTTTGTGTAAAACATATCCACTTGTTCTTGATGAATTGTTTGCGGCTGAGATGCGTCCTCTCAATGTCGTCAGCCGCTTTACCCGTATTTTCTTAATTTCAATTCATCCACGTTTTTATTACCACTATCTCTTAGAGCCGTTTTTGGGCACTGGTATGCATAAAGAACAAACAGATGGAAAATAAAGGGAATGAAAGAGGATCCCGTAGGTGAAACATCTTATAAAGGTTGAAATTTAGACACACTTTAGCTTCGTGAAACAAAGGTAGTTTTATGGGCTGCAGTGGTAATTATTACAACAAATGAAATATTTTAAGAAGGTTCTTATAGTTGATTATTTTTAGTATGAAGAGAATACTATTTTTGTTTACCTTGCAGCGTAAAAGCACTTCCTTTCTTACGTCACAGAAGTAGATGATCAAAAGCAATTGATAAGAGACTAAATTCGACCTTCAATCGCTTCTGAGATATCTCAAGACCGCATCATATTATTCTACATTTTTATTTCCAGTCAGTATAGGTGCCAGCACTGTTAACCTTAAAGTTGGTAGTCTATGATGAGGCTTAATTCTTCCTCATGAAGAGTAAAGGGCTTTCCTCAATGCGCTGCACCTTTTTTGGGTGATTAATTGCCAAATAGTTGTTGCTTAAATTAATTTCTTTACCATAGTTTTGGTACAGCATTTTTTGCTCAATTTGTGCAAAAGATTATAAACTTTTGTAAACCAAGTTAGCCGATGCGCATAAAATGGACAAGCTTGAATGATTCTTCGTCTTAATTCAGTGGATGTATGATATGGGAATTTGAAATAGCAAGAAAGTGGCATCGAGAATAGTAAAGATGGCCACACGAATATACCAATGCATGTTTAACCAGCCTCATTCATGTGTACAATATAATGTGCATACAATGGCATAGATTTCACAAGTATTCAGCCGTTGCAAAGGGTCACTGCAGCGTGCCATGCCAAAAAATGAGTGACCGTCTTCGATCACCCGCCACCTCGCATCTCAGTAGCTGCGTACCCTATGTGGAGCAGTATACTGTTTAATGGCGATTTCGTTTATGTATCCCCCTTTATTAATAATCGTAATTGCTTCATGTTTTTTTCGCTTGAAAGACCAATTCACTCCCACCTTTCTTATATTTGACCAAAAAGTTTGAATGAAGTTGGAAGCGCATTTGCTAGTTGAAATTTAAAATGTCCGCAAGAACGTAAAAAATGGAAAAGTAACTTGTCTGCCCCAGATTTTCCCCTCTAATGTCAGAACCGATTAAGTAATGGTTGACTAACAAGACTCGACTTTTGATAATATGCGGTGTTCTTATCACTAACGGAAAAAAATTGAAACACGTTATGCACATATTAGCTTACTTTCATTAATTAAATTTATGTCATTAATTTTAAATTTACACAGAAAGGTACACATTACCAGAGAAGTCACAGATATAGTGCTCCGTCGCTGGAATTTGCATATCTCTACAGATCAAAAGTAGCAAACTTTAGTCGAGTATTGTGGAAGCAGTGGTGGATAAGAGTTTGCGGATGGAAACAGTAAAGTCAGATAGCATAGGAAAAATGCAGCTTAATTCGAATGACCATGAAAAAAATAGAGCAGTTATTAGTCGCGTTTGCTCATGTCAAGTGACTATTCTTCTCCAACGAGTTATCTCGCCCTGTATATTGTGAAAACCCGCATTCTGGGCTGAAGGTTGCTAGATAAATTAAGGGCTTACAACAATATTAAGGTTTGACGCATCTTCCTATGTGACATCTGTCCAAATTTGTCTCCATGGTTATGCATACTTATGTAATACTTGTATCGTTTTAAGATTCCTTTCAGAGAGAAGGCGGGGATACAAAGAGAATCTCGTGACGGAGTTGACGTCCTGCAAGCCTAAGAGCGGTTACGGATCCTCACCTCCGTAAACTCTGCACTAGTCTTCCCTATTCACTTCCCTCAATAAGTGTGTCGAAATCAGACCAACCTGGTTGTTTTAAGAGCACGCGGAACAGGAAAGAGGCGACCTACGAGCCTGGTTCTACACTTATTATGTGGATAAGGTTACCATAACCATAGTGACCCAAGAATGTACTTAAGAACTCAAAAATGACCAAAAATTTACTTTCCTCATGCCTCCATTTTTTCACCGTACACCTTGTTTTCATGAGCTAAATGCGTTCTCTGCCTTTTGAAACCCACCCCAACCATCCAGAGCTGCAGTGAAAAGTAAGATCTGCTAAAAGATCTCCTTGATTTACTAAGTAAATACTATTTATTTAAAGCGACTTATAAAAAAGCTGTGGAAAACCTGAGAAGAGGTCGAAATATAGAGCTGTCCGCCATAAATATACTTAATATTAAATTTCTTAGACCCAAAGTGATGCAATTAATAAAAATTCCCATTATGGCAAATTTTCAAGCATTTAGCTTTGGTGGTCTGTAAAAACGTATAGCAGGCATCCTTGGTGTTTCTTCCCAGGTATTATTTCTTACAGGAGGTTTAAAAAATTGAGGATGTCGTTTGCTAGGATAGAAATGTTTAATCCGGTGTTTTTAAGCCAATGTCAAAGACAATGCGGCAACTCAAGTGGTATGAGGTGTTGTCAGAGAATAGGTTGTCATTAGCAGTACACAGTGTCGCTCAAATTCACCAGTTCATAATTAAAGTGGCCAAAAGAAGTATTGTAATGAAAATCGAGAAATGAATTCCGCTTCTAAAGCTTGTTAATTATAAATCAGGGCGAGTAATCCACTTAGCTAAGTATCAATTTCCTCTTGACTACCTAATTTGTGCCACAAGTCCCGTTGCCCTCTCCGACTATGGCATTTTTAAGCGACTAAGAAACTGTATGAGACGTAAAAAGAGATGTTGTTTATTCCAAAAGAGTGATGAATATTTAAGTGGATGATGAGTGAGCACGTAAAGTGTTCATAAACCAGGGCCGCCCCTTTTGCATCCTCTCACTTTGTCTGTGTTTTGTGGTATTACTTGCAACCCACTAGGCCCTCTTAGGACAAAGCTTTTCACATAAGCGTTTAGCGCTGCCCATAAAGAATAATAACAATTTTGGCTCAATGATCTTAATCCTACTAAGATGTTGATCTTTCGTAAAAGGCAAAGAATTTAGCTAATGCCTTTGCTTTGTACAGATTCTCCTGTTTTACCTGATGTTGTCTTGCCATAGAAGGTTGCCTGAAATCTTCTCCTCTAAAATGACTAGTAAAATATGCAATAGTCTCGTAAATAATATGCGCTTAATAAGAAATGCTTGGTACAAATTTTATTAATTTTGCCGCCTAAGTTGTGTCTCTCTAGTATTTTCTCAGCCCAAATGTATCAGGTACTTCAGATGCCTAAATGGACTCAGTTGACGAATTGCTTTTATCACCTATAACTCAACAGATTTGGTACTTAAAAACGTGACTTTTTGCTGTGCTGATGGATGAATACACCCACGCTTCAGGAAGCAACCCTGCCCTTGGTACATTTACATTTAGATGCACCCTGTTTGTGCGAAACCCCGAACGAGGGAGGTAATGCGTGCGTCGCCACCCGGTTGGGCATCAGGCTATTCCCACGAGAGAGAATCATGGAGAAAATGTTGTTTTCCCATTTCCTCTTAATTCGTTTTTTTACTAATGTAGTTTGCTTTTTTGCTATTATTTTGTCCCAATGACTGCCTCTGACTATTCGTTGATAAGGAATCAAACTACAAAGTGGTGGAATCGCATTTCTACAACTATTTCATGTGCCAGCTTAATGCTTTTGCATGCCTATAACAACCTTGAAGTTCTATATTGTACCCTTAACACCATATTGTGCCTGAAATGCCATAAAAATAAATACTTAGAAATCCCTGAAATTCATTGCCAGATTTCTAATTTGGCTTCCTCTCTTGAAGTTTCAAGCTATTCTTCATTCATTTATAGCTTTAACCTAATAGCCTTAATCTGATAATTTCCTATTTTAAAGATTATCTCTGTAAATTTCATGGCAAAATATATCTCCCCTTACAGCTCTGAGTCCTTTCTGATGACTCAAGAAGGTATACTGCTATAAGGAAAGGTTTACTAACATAATTACGGAAGGTCTAGGGTCGTACTCCTGCGTGTCAGTACGGTCTTTTAGCCACGCCTGGGTGGTTAAATATCCTGTTAAGTAAACTCTAGATTACCACATCCCAAACTTTTATCAATTTTAACCTAAGGATAAATCATTGCCATATGAGTCTGTAGTTTGCTTTTCCAAACTTACAATGTTATTCAATGAAGCAGTGGTTTTAAATTTGAATCATAATATAAAAAAAGTAAAACTGTAAAGATACCTTTGTCGAAATAACATTTCAAGACGTGGCAATATCTGAAGGGAGAAAATTGAGCACCAAAACATTACATCGAATCTCCCCTAGTAAAATTTCAGCAGATTTTGCAAACCCCTCCTCTAATTTAACTTTTGGTGTGGAAGCAAGCAAGTCCAGAAAAACACTACCCCTCTGACGTTTCAAAAGCTTCCTTTCCAAATTTGATTTTGCAGAAACTTAAGAACATTGCTTAAGTCCTGCACATGGAAGGCTGGCCTCACCGATAGACATGACATGTAGGCGCACTTTGCATATGATTCAGGATGCTATAAACAAATATATGAAATCATGTATATTCATATACATATAATCATTTAAACAATGCATGTAATCACAATGCTGTAAATAATTGGGAATGGTGACCACCAGAAAATTTATTCCTACAGACAACTAATGCTCAAGCAGGTGCCATGTTCTATCTATAAAAGCGTTAATAAGATTGGAAATTGAAAATTCTCTAAGTCTGATTTCGTGATTCCTACCCACGGGATCTCGGTAGTCCTGCCTTCAAACAAGGAATACCGGTGTATGGTTATTTTTGGATAATTTTGCTTATTTTGCTCTTAAAATTACGAAATAGACAATTGTATTGCTAAAATTGATCCAATTCTACCTAAAACTATTTTTTCAGAGAGTATCTGACTATGACGACGAGAGGGTAGTCTCCATGATAACTCATGATTAAATACGATCGTAAAATTTTTTACAGAGTTATACAACACCACTCACTTTGTATTGTTCTAACATTCATCTAACCCTTATTATTGATGAAATACAAGATTGTATTCACAAATTTGAGGCTTGACGAGCGAACCCTGCATAAAGCAAATCCAAAAGGTAATTGATTTCTTAAATATTCGCAAGCCAATTTTCGAGCATCGTTGTTGAGACGTTGGTAGAAGTCGCCTAACTTAAGGGACTTGGCCTTTAAATGTTTAACAATCAGAATAAAAAGGCAACAGCGTCTTACAAATTGCCTTGCCCTTGTGTTCCACTCTTTACTGTATGCAACGTGTTTTGTTGTTACAATTTAAACCCTTTTACTGACAAAATTTCATTCCGCATTTTTGCACTTCTTGGGAACACTGATGATAAAATGTGCCAATCGCCCAACTGATATAGTTACTTTTTACTTAAAAAATCATTATATTTAATGACAACATACAGGTGAAAAGGTAAGTGATATTTGAATGGCAAAAAGGGTCAAAATGTTTAATCAACATTAAAAATGATTGCAAAACATGCACGTCTGCACACAACTTTTAGTCTGCCGGTGGGTGGATTGGACATGTCTCATGACTGGGAGGGAGCCATCAATCTTTAAAGTGGGGAAACACTTTGATTACCCCATAAACATTGGTCATTTGTAAAATCTCACAACGGATTAATGCACGAAGTCCTCTTTTAACCAGTCTTCTCGATCGAAAAGAATGAAGTCGATGGTGGAAGGAAAATTTCAAATGGAAATACTGTTTTATGATTTTATACAGAGGTTATGCATTAGTCATGTAACATGCATCCTTGGTGGAAACAACTCTGGCATTCGATCTCCTGACAGATTTGGCAAAAGGTAGTACGTTCTCACTACGGCTTGACCCTCGAGACATGCAAATATCCTACAAGGTCTGCAATGCCACCTCTATCGCTGGTTAAACCCTATTCCTAGTAAAATGCGTTTTCAGCAAATCAACTTCTCCGTGCATAAACTTCTTAAGCTAGAATACCGTGCTTTGTAATGAATACATTTCCACAAAATCTTCGACAGCAGCCTAACGTTCAGTTGCTTCTGTGTGATACTTTTTAGAGCTGTTATAAATTCCAGGATTTTTCTGCCCATAACGAAGTCCTTTAAAGCTCTCGGATTTTCCGAGAGCTAAAGGAAAACTAGGCGGTTAAGTTGATTTATTAAGACTTTATGAAATCCCCGAGTGATTACTTTATTATTCTGTTGATTAAGTACTGTAGCATAACATGCAAAACATCAATTCTGCGCAAAGTGCCCCAAGTTTAAAACAGGGCAGCAAAACAATTTGCATTAGAACGTTAATAATCGTCTTTGCATTTGACTTACTTTAACTTACTTATAAATTTACCATTGGTTTCATACCTTATTTACTAGTATTTGTCTGCGCCATGGACAAAAGCAGCACACTTTAACATGAACAAGTTGAGTTAGATATAATGCAAGCAATTCCAAATACTACTAATAGTTTGTTTGTAAAAGTCACCCTAAACTGTACAAAACCAATTGTAGTTATCCACTAACAATACCACCACCTAAACTCACTCTAAAAAAAATTGTAAACTTGTGTGTTCTAGATATCGGCTGTAAGGTCTCTGAAGTAATTTACACATTTAATATTGAGAGTTTACGTATTAATAACAGGTCAATTTACAAATCATAAGCATGCAACTGGTCAGGTCCACAAGCCAGAAAACTGTTAGAATGATTTTAGATATAACTTTTTAGACTGACGACAGTGCTGACACTGAGCAAAATGCATAGTCAACATTCAAATGATTATAACATCAAAATTTACCCAAACCACTTGTTAAGTTACCAATAGTCTTTAAAAGTAGGCTGGGGATAGTAATTATTTTGAAATTTAACATGAAGTTATGCGTGATGTCATTAGCAATGATAGTAATAAAAACATCCAAAATAAACATTATTTGCATAAGTTGTTTTAATAGATCCGTTCATCTTAAGTCATACTGCAACTCCCCATTTTCTAAAATCACGGTCTTTGGTATGTTTGTCCGTTTGGGTTTCTTTGTGAGAGTTCTGCAAAGGTACCTTGCATTGCGTATTCTTTTTGACAAGTCCTGCATTCTCATCATTTCTTTATTTTGGTGTTATTTTTGACAGGTTGATGGCTTTTAAGCTCCATGTGAATCTCTTTCAGCAGCAATTTCGCATGAAAATGTATTGAACAAGCGTTCTTGTGTGTAATTCTATCTTTCAAGATTTCAATTTGACCTCTAAAGTCGTCTGGCTCGTTTTTACCCGTTTAGCGGCACGTATCATGTATCACTAAGTGTTTTGAAGGAAAATCGGCTCCCTCGCCTAATTATGGATACTAGAAGTGGTAGATCAAAACGAGGTCTGAATAAACTTTCGGTATTTCTGGTGTCTCAAAACGCAAGAAATGAAAGGAATCAAAGCAAAAAATGAAGCGTCTTTGTGTGTCTAATTCTTGCGCAACATCATTTCAAATCCAGTTTCAGTTACAATGTCATATGACAGTCAAGATTATGGATCACGACTACGGCGTTCAAGGTACGACACCTATGATTCACCACCAATGCGTGGACGGCAGAACGACTACGTGTAAGCCTGTCGCCTTGGTCCCACCCTCTAGTGCACTGTCGCTTTGGTGTTCTAATTTCGTGTTTTCGATATTTCTCTTTGAAGTGCTGAAGAAAGACATCATCGTTCTTTCTACAGACCTGAATTGCGTCCGCGTTATCGTGATTACGATGAAATGCAGGATAGAAGACTCTCAGCGCCACGAAGAGACTACTTCAGCAGACGTGGCGGTGGCGGTAGCGACTACTACAGCGGTCCGCCCCCGCGTCGAACTGAACAAGCTCGACCTTGCAAAGTTCTCGGTGTATTCGGCCTCTCAATTCACACCACTGAACGAGATCTTTACAACGTTTTCTCAATTTACGGTCGTGTTCGGGATATCCATATGGTCTATGACAATATGTCAGGTACTGATTCCATCTCCTTATTTTCAACCTCGTGCCAAAACAGCAAATCAACACAACTGAGCTTTTCAAAAAAACTCAAAATATGTTGGGGGACGCTTTCGTCAAATTGTTCAAGCATTGCGTTGCAAGTCTGAAGCTTTGAAAGCCGCAATTGTGATTCCCTTCTTCATCCGTCCTATGCTCATCTTTTGCGTAGCCAGTTTCGAGGATCATGAGAATGCTTTTATCTTGCTTTTCTTTTCAGGCCGGTCACGAGGTTTTGCATTTGTGTACTACGATTCAACAGAGGATGCCCGGCGAGCAAAAACTAGTTGTGAAGGCGGGCTTGATATTGACGGTAAAGTTGCTCGTGTTGACTACAGTCTAACCACAGCTCCACATCGTCCCACGCCCGGTATTTACATGGGAAGAAGATATGACGATGATAGGAGGCGTGGAAGACCATACGATCGTCCACCACGCTACAGTCGCTATCCTGATGACGACATAGGCCCTTCCTATGGTCGAATGCCTCCACGTTACTGCGGCAACGATATGTCTCCATCGATGGGACGCCCTGTTCGTGATCGCTCACCGATTCGCCCTTCTCGCCACTCGCAACGTTCTGGTGTTAGACGGCGCACCGTCTCCAGTAGTCGCTCAAGGTCGCCACCTCCAGTCTACAATGGAGGTCGAAAGGTGTCTGATGGCTCTCCCGAGCGCTCACGCAAGTCTGGAACGGGGAACAGCGTAGGTGGAGGCGCTACTGCTGGCGCAAAGGTGGTTGATGAGGCCTGGTCCGATGCTGAGTAGATTTTGTGGGGTTTTTTGACATTTTTTTATACGTGTGTGTTGTAACAGAGCATTTCAATGATTCCGTGAATTAGTCTTCGAAGTTAGTAATTGGGCTTGGAGGTTGCTTTTCTTGCGTACATGCTGAGAGAGCACGTCTATCCTGGGGTCTAGGATGTTGGGGTTTTGTTGCTGATGCATTCTACGAATTCTGTTTTACTGTGGGTTTTGGTAAGGCGTGGTTAGCCGATGATAGGTGCGAAATGAACATTAGGGCTAGGGTAGGCAGGGTGGCAATCAGCAGATGGCTTGTAGTTTGTTTAATGCGCGGGTCGGTTAGGTGGGTTGTGAGGTCTCGATCATGCGGGTTGTTATCGGCCTTGTTCGCGAAAGCCGCCCAGATCAGCGTGCGGCGTTGTGCACTGCGGGGCAGACGTGGTGTTGTTCAGGTTATTTCTGAAAGTGCGGGACGTATAGGTGCTAATAGTCTCTTTTGGGGCGTGGCGAAGATAAGCAGGCGGTAGTGAGTGTTCCGGGCAGGGCTTCACTCCATCGTCGTTAATCCGGTCCCCTGGTGCGGGCGGCTCTCCGGCCATCCTTCTCGGTGCAACCGGTGCAGAGTTGACCTGTGAACCCAGTGATTGGTGTTCGTCTCCTTCCTTTTCTCTTTTTGGCACTATGTTGGGAACATTTCTTCTTAAATGTTGTTTATTGCTGAACGATGGTCTACAGCGTCTCCAGGTAACGTGTTCCCAAATGATGGGTTGATTCGCCTCGGAGATTCCTTCTCTTTCAATGTTTCCTAATTCAGTCATTTACGAATTCTTGATAAATTAAGTAATTTGTAGTCTATAGACTTTGTCTATTCCTCATTGCCTATTCAGGCCACCTTTCGCTTAAAATTTTTCTACGCAGTTCTCGTCCCATTGATCCCTATGTTCCAGAATTCACTCTTCTTTTGCGTTCCCGCTAATGCAGCCGCCCGTAGTAGGTGCTTTTTTCCCCATTGTAATGAGTCCATTCATTTGGACTCAAGGCATCCCTTAAGCAGTTTCCTGGGAAAGCAGTTATTGTTCAAGTAAGGGGTGGAAATCTTCAAACGTATTCAACTGTGCTGTCCCTCGTGTAGCACCTACGGAGGCATTGAGTCTTGGATCTCTCATTGTAGAATTAGTAGCAAATGTGACATCAGTTGAATACTGTGTCAGTTTTTTACAAATGAAAGGGCTCTAAGACTATCGCATTTAAGTAGTATTCTCTGTTGGAGTATAAGCAGAAACATTGGATTCGCTGTTCGCTCATACAGTTTGGTGGCACTGCCATCGCTGGTACTTCAGTTTGTTGCTGACGCCATTTCCAAATGAGGATATTGATGTGACACCCAGCATCCATGCTGTGGTATTTTTCATATCCCGTGTTTGTTTAGTTTTAGACACAATGCTTGTTATGGGTATAAAAATTGCACTGTCAACCTGCAAATCAGGCTATTCTTCCTTACCTCTCCAATCGAACGCTGAGCGTGTCGGATATCTTTAATTTGCAATTAATTTGCCACTAACAAACTGCAATTTACGGGTTCTTTATAACTGGCTCGCAAAGCGTGGATCGCTGATATTTGTGGGACAAGTCCGAAATTGTAGCACGTCAGTATGCGATGTAATTTCACAAAAAAAAACTACTGAAAGCCGCCACTGCTGTGGCACCTAAATCCTGCTACCCCTGCAGTCGCGTGTCCAGTCTTGGGCACAATTTTTCCAAGTGTGATACATTTGTTGTTGAGAAACTCCCTTGAAATGCGCCGTATATACTTACTGCTTTTAAGTAATTTTGCCTAATTTTTTTCTGCAGATGATTTCATTTTCAAGTCAAAAGGTGTCCAGAGGAATGCTGCAGTAGTTGGAGTTGTGGTCATGTCATCTGTGCTCCTAGCCTTTCAGCACTTTGATAGTACGATTAGGCGGTTGCCTATAGTCTCCCACATTTAGAAATCTTCAGAGGTGGCATGGCTGGCCATTGTAATAACAATATATTTAGCAGATTCGGGATTAGTCTGAAGAGATTCGAAACTTTTGGAAAAATACATCAGCCTCAAAGTGATTACTACTCGTGATTCTTTTCAATCAAGATAGTGAAAGTACATATGAGGAGAAAAGTCCCAGTGGGCCTACGATATATTTTGGGAGGAAGTTCCCTGTAAAATTTTGCAATAATCTGACGGGGAATGGTGGTAGTATATGGAGCCGCAATTTTGATAGTTGTTTGAGCGTTTAATATGAGGCTCGTTAGCCCCTGCAGTTTGCGGGTAAAGCGGGTCCAAATGACTTGGTGGTTATGGCGCAATTACGGAACAGCGCTTCTCCATGCTCAAAACGACTAAACAAGTGTAGCAGTACTCTTCTATTTAAAGTAATAAATTTTATGCTAAACCGTGAGGAAAGCCAGGTCGTCAAGCCGCAGTAGTCATGGGACACACTCCAACACCACTGATGGCCACTCCTCTTTTTAACTTCACTGTTTTCAAAGGGACGAAATACGCGATTGGCGACTAAATATGTCTGCTATTCTAGAGTACTCATAAAAACCCATATCCCTTTGAAGCTTTATCACTAAATTCCGGTACCACGGATATCTTCAAACAAAATTCATCAGCCCACCACATGAGTGGGCTGTTTCGCCGAAATCAATGTTTCCACTTTGCAAATGAGGCGACGTATCTTGGGGGTTTTGATGGTGCAATGGCTCACCACAGATGTCAACCAGCTATTAGCAACTGCATGCAAAGGCTAATGCCAGTGCTAAGGTCATTCGTAGGGGTTGCTTATTTTTTGCCACCCTCTTGCCAAGAGTTAGGGCCTACTAACTGGGTACGAGGAAACCGCATCCGACATCAACGAGACACGCAACTCCACTGCCGCCCTTAGGTCTACTCAAAACGTTCATTAACTACTTTACTTCAAGAGTCGGCGATACTAGATGTCCAAGCGACCCGATTTCAGTGACTACTTAAGTGATCTAAGACAACCAATCGAATCAATGAAGGCCCTTTATCTATGTGCTGGATGTGCCAACCCATGCCTCAAGGCATAACGGTTAAGGATTTGATTGGCAATCGAGGAAGTGAACTTTATTATTTACGTAATTCGTCTAGTAGATTACACGCGTCCACAGAAGTATCTTCAGTGGCCGGGGGTGCTTCTGCAAAGAAAATGCAAACAATCCAGGGTCCTCCAGGAAAAGGTAATGTATATATTTCCAAAATTTCATCAAAGCTAAATTGAGCACTGTTAACTTGATAAGATCTAAGGATGTGTGATCAGCATGATTACAGTACCAAAATATGAGGAAGGAATAAAGGAAAGGAAGTGACATCAGAAAAGATATGTTCACAGCTAGACGCACATATTAAAGGCGGCTCCCAGAAATTGTTCAAAGCTCATGTTTACAACACCGCGTCTTTGGACATCCAATGCACTAAAGCTTTTCGTAAGGATCTGAAAAAGATAAAAGCAAGTGCATAAGGATGAAAAATGGTTAACATCAAATATAGATAAAGACGTACCTGCAGACATACAAGAATGTATATGTATTTGTCGAATCCGAGCTTATTCAGGCGCTGTCTGTCAAAACGCGTCATCAACCACTGCACAAAGCATGGACTAAGACGATATCCAAAATGTTGTAGAGCAGAAGAAAATTCGTTGAGATCAATCGATCCAGAACGATCACGATCATGCTGAGTGAATAGGTTCTGCCATGAAGTTATGTAGTTAAAAAGTTGACCGAATTCGTTTAAAGATATGGTGCCATTGTTATCACTGTCAAAAAGAGATATCATCAAGGAGATGCAGGTAATGTCGAATGGAGTACCCAGGCCTAAATAATAAGAATAACAACTTTATCTACCATTCGTAAGAGCAGCTTGCAATTCCTCTGCATTAATATAACCACTACAATCCTTATCAACCCTAGAAAATCATTAAATGAAGAAAGTTCACCTTCTAAAGATCTCGCATATCCTTCGATCCATATCGACCGACAACCAAAGCACAACAGAAACGTGAAGGAGGAAAAAATGCCGAAACGTTATCCCATGGCCAATCTAAACAAAGTAAAAGGTCAAATGCTCGTTGCTAACATGCGAAGCAAATTTTTTTATTGATTTCATCAAATTTTAACAATTTTTAATGGAGCTTAAAGGCTTAGAGGGCCCAACAATTGATCTAGCATCAAGTGAAGGGTTGCCTGATCGACTGAACTGTTGATGCTGTTCCTCTACATATTTTACCAGATTTACCTTTTGATACACGAAATAAATGCTTTTTAATGTATATTTCCTAGGTTGAAGTAGGCAAATTATAGGGCCATTAAAAGTAAGCATACGCTTGTAGGGAAGTCTGCTGCAGATAAGCACTTTTAAGAGCCATATAAAAGTAATTTGTTGATTTTTGGCGCTAAGTGCAAAAAGACTTTTTGACTGTTAATACTCTGGTACCCTATTGGCATTAATTGACACTATACGGTTTTGAGTACAACTTTCTACACACTTTCGCATACGGCTGAGAGACTTAGAATTTACTGTTTTCTTTTTATTAAACCTGGTATGATATTACTGCGCTTTTTTGATTGAATCAGTGTTCATGGTTAGGTCCCCGATATCCTCGCTCTTTTTGAAAAGCGCTATTCTCCGAACTTTTAACTGCTTAGCCGCTTTGCCTACAGACATGTTTGCTGTGGCACAATTGGCGTCAACTAATGAAAAGACGAGAAATTTGGACAAAGTTGTCCATTTGGTTGCCGAGGCTGCTGAGAAGGGAGCTAAAGTTCGCCTTTTGCCCCTTCTAAAAAGAACTTCTTTAGATGGTCTTTTTACCCGAGTGTGCGGATTTCATTGCTACCTCGAGGGAGGAGGCACTGGCATTGGCTGAGGACCTAGACGGCACCTTTTTCACAACTATTAGTAAACTCGCCAAACAATTAAATATCTGGGTCAGTATCGGAAGCATGCACAGAACAGTGGGTGTAATATACCAAGGATTTCATATTTTTTTTAGTCTAATTCTCGATCTAAGGACCAACGTCTGCTCAATACGCATGTCGTATTGAATGACAAGGGGGAGGTCGCTGGAATTTACGACAAGACTCACCTTTTCTCAATTGATCTTAGTCTCGGCTCTTCGTCAAATGAAGTTAGTCTATTTACTTCTATTCTACTTTACTAATAGAATGAACGCAGGAGAGTGTCTTTTCAAGAATCGCGGTACATACAGCCGGGCCTAACCGCTCCTGTCGTGGTGTACGGAACCCCTGTCGGTGATCTCGGCCTGGCAATTGTGAGTGATGTGAATTAAGGCTAATTTAAAATACCACTTTTCAGTGCTACGATCTTCGGTTCCCTGAGTTAGCGAGTGCGCTTCGTTACAGAGGTGGAGCAAATGTTTTGGCTTATCCAGCAGCTTTCACTTCTGCTACGGGCAACGCGGGCCATTGGCATACTCTGATGCGCGCCAGAGCTATCGAAAATCAGTGCTACGTTATTGCTGCTGCTCAAGTAACCTAGTGATTTTTCCACCGTTTAGCCCAGTTGTAATTTGACTAGAATGCTTGAGACAATTGCTCGTTTTTAAGAGTGCTTTTCACAATCCAAAACTCACGACCTACGGACACAGTATGGTCGTCGATCCGTCCGGCCAAATAATTGCGGAGAGAGTGGAATCCGGCCCCGGCTTGCTTCTCGCTCAACTGTATCATCATCCTCGGCCGTTGTGCGGTGTCGGTGAAGATGGCATCAATTACACCGACCGCGTGAGGACGGTTTTGCCGGTTGAAAATAGTCGTCGGCATGACCTATTTCCCCTACCAGATGCGGGAATGCCAATTCGTGCGTCCGCCTTTTTGTATCATTATATATTTGCTTTTCCCATCGTCTGGTTAGTTGACCGAATCGGTATCTGTTGGCACTTGTAATATCACAAGCAACTGACTACGTGATAACTTGCGGAGTACCTAGCAAGTTATTGTGACACTAAGCTAAACCGTTATGGGTATTTTAATAACATGGCTTATTATCATCAAGCGTAGGGTAAGGATGCTAGCAGTTGTCAGCATTAAATTACGTTTATAATATTAGCTCTGATGCCAAAATCTAACATAGTGGCTTTTTGCAAGATCACCTACATAGCTCATCGGGTGACAGGGACCATACATGCGTACAAATCCAGCGGCTGAATGCAAACGGATCAGTAATGTTCATAGAATAACACACCGCGATAAAGAAGCATGAACATGTTTGACAAATTCATAAAATAACATCTGCATATTTGAATTATCCAATCTCACCAAACATTTTCTTATGCTTCGGTTGACTCTCATCCAATATTGAGTGATAATATCAGTATTCAATCAAAACATTTTTAATGATAGAATATGGTACTGTTACTTCGTGGAAGGCCGACTCTGTTGCCATTAATAACTCGCCCTCTTTAAGTCCTTTTACTCAGGACATATACACAATTGCCTCAGGAAGTTAATAAGGCATTCCAGTTAAATGGAAGTATATTCCCTTTGACGAATTATCAACATGCTCCCAGTACAGTTCAGGCTCTAATGCTTTATTTGAAGGCTTAAAATGTTCAGTTTGAATGAAGTATCATCGAAGAATGTTGCATGATCATTAATAGCCCCATCTAAGTGACAACATGAAATACTTACGGCTTAGAAATAGTTCAAAGTGTAAATGAGAAGGAAGTGACCAGAAGTAAGAAGTGGTGCACACTTTCTCCATGGCAAAATGTTGAGGGTAGTTGAGGAATTTGAGCTGCATCTCAAACTTACTACTCGGTAATTCGTCTTGACTTCTGTTGTTCTGGGTGCGGGAGCCAAATCATACGCAATTTGGTTTCTGTTTGGATGGATTTACCAATCCGGGGGTGGATTTGCTTATATTTCACCTATTCAACAATGTTTAAACCCTTCTTGATGAGTAAGATCGCTACCCAATAGGGTGGTTCGGTCATTTAACGCAAAAATGCCTAGTTTGTTCATTTTGCGTCCTAAATGGACAGTAGTAACAAAAGTATCAGCACCTTGCCCGCGTTTACTTCAAAGCTATAATTCAAGAGGAAAAGTCGTATCTGTTTTTTAAGAGGAAGACATTTGTTCACTTTGAAAAATTTCGATTTCTATTTCTTGATTTCTTTGTCGTAATTTGTAGCACTTTCACTAAATTTTCAGCGATCGGTACGGACGACTTTCATTTCGGTCCATTCGTTATAAAAGCGGGACAGGTTTTCTATCGAACGCCCGTTTCCATGGCATTTGTCAACATTAGCCCTTTGGTCCCTGGTCGTATCCTTTTTTTTCAATTACGTCCAAACTGTACAGGTTGGAGGTGTCAGCCTTAACCACGTAGCTAGATGTACTGGTCACACCTATTGAAGTGATTGATAGATTTACCTATCTGCCCATCGGAACAATTGCTGATATGTATGCCTGTGTGAAACGCATTGCTAAGAAACTTTCCGAACATTTCAATGCACGGAGTCTCACTATCTCCATGCAGGATGGAGAGGATGCTGGTCAGAGTGTGCCGGTAAGCTGAGATGATGCTTGCTTTGAAATAAATTGGCTGCAACAGACAATAGGTTCCAACTTTCTAACTGTTTATTTTGAGGTTTTCAAATTTAATCGAGGCCACATAAAAACTGTTAGAACAGACACTAGTGGTAAATATCGCCGCCAATTCATGCATTGTTAGCAGGGCATCTAACATGCTTATTTGCGTACGTGATTCCTTTGTGATGCAGCTGTAAGTCGGTGAAGCCAAGGCAACTTAGATATCCTTATCACCTAGGCACACCTTCTCCAGGAATATGTATCATTCACTGATGTTTCGAGTTGTCTTTAGTCCCTAATTTGTTTAAAAAACACGAGTTTTTATTGAAGATATTGCTTCGTAAAGTTAAGTTATGCAGTAATCAGGCACTTCACATTGAATAACTTAATTATTCCACTTTTTGTATACTTTCAGCACGTGCACGTCCACGTACTGCCGAGAAAGCCGGGAGATTTCGCTAGAAACGATGACATATATGACGCTGTGAGCGGGTTTCCTACTAGACATGCATATTTTTTTTCTGGCTTCAATCCATTCTACCATTTTTTTTTCACGTTAAAAACTCTTTAGTTACAGCGTCACGATAAGGTGGCCAATCGAAAGTACCGCAGTTACGAGGAAATGGCAGAGGAGGCGAAGCTTTTCCGATCATTCTTTTACGATGAGGAGGGTCTTCCTTTGAATGCGAAAGAATGGTAGTCAGCATCTACTTGGCTTAAGTATTTTTTCTGATTTTTGTTAATCATTTGTAATTTCAACTTGAATGGATGAATCAGACTTGGTCCATGCTTATTTTGGGTCTTTTGAGGAAAGGTTGTGAAAACCAAATGCAGGTACTTACTTGCTTTGTGTTTTAGCTGACTTTGTCCTGTGTGCTGACCAACTTTCAATAAATCTCCTGTTTGAACTCCGTATTTGCTTTCCATTCAAACACTCTAGCGAGGTCACATTCGACTATCCGACTCACGTACCCAAAGCTTTGGTAGCAACGATGATCTTATCGTTAATTTTCGTGTTTTTCATAATAGGGTTTTCGCTTATATTTAGTTCGCTAAGCCGTGACATTTTAGAAAGAAAGGTTAGCACTTCGCTTTCCTCTGATAGTTGATTGAATCCGACGTCTAGGCGCTCCAGATACTGTAAACATTCCAAACCCTGTAGGTTGTTAACACCGGAGGCAGACAGATCCAAATACCTAAGAGAGTTCTGACTTAAATGAAATGCCGGGGAATTGTTGCCTTTATTCCCATGAGGCTTCGGTCGTCGAAGATGATACCATCCCCCGCTGGGGCGCGTTGATGATCAATTCTGAGTTCACTGAGTTTATTTTGTGATTCCAAACCCTCAAGAACTGATATCTTATTTCCTGACAGGTATCTACTATGGTAAGTCATCGAAGTGTTGGTTTACAATTTCTCCAGGTTGAACAACGCGTCGAGGTTATGGATTCTCGTGATGTCGTTCTGTTGAAGATACAAATGGGTTAAATTAGGACTCATTGACATATCTGGGATTTTTGTAAGGTGGTTTTCATAGAGGTACAAAACCCGTAGGCTAGTGCATGATCTGAGGGCCTCTCCCTATACAAATGTTTATTTAGGCAAGCCAGTTTTTGTGGGGTACCACGTCATCGATGTCTTTGTTATTCATATATAAATGGGTAAGTCTACCTAGGTATTTTTCCAGCGGTTCATCAATCCTTCTCTTGGAATATGGAGAGGTAGACTTAATTAGGATATTTCGTGATACTTTAACCATCTCGTATATGGCAGTTGACGTGCAGCAGTACAGTGCCTTGGCAACGGAGCATTAAAACACGTCCAGACATGTCGTGGGAATTAAAAAAAGGCCGAGAACCAGTACTGTAAAGAGGGCGCACCAAATTCATTTGCACACATCGGCGGGAATTTTAAAATCATATAACTTAACTCGACCTGATAGAAGATTTTGTTTGTAATGCACATAGCACAGACGTTTAGTTAGAAAAAAGCAGACTAATTAACGCATCGACTACTTTTCGCTGTTTTTTAAATTTTAAATTTTTGAGTATTTGTAACCATCTAAAGTCAGTACATAGGTCTTTGTTTGAAACACTAATGCTTTTAACTTAAAAAAGGCTGCTTTTTTAATTGCAAAAATATCGTTGTGCTTCTAAAACCGTAGTTGTTTGAATCCTTTGACGTAATAGCGGTTGACGGGAATTCTGCTGACTTCCTACATGGCCGGAGATCGTGTTTCTGCCTTTTTGGCACGTGAGAAAGAAAGCCTGGGTGACCTAACAGATGAGCTGTTTAATGGCACAGGAAGCAGTTCAGGTAGCTATTTACCTGTGCACACGTCTCCTCATATTTTAGAGAAAAATCTTATTTTATGTCCTCTTTGTAGATCTTGATTTTTCTGAAGGCTCAAGAAGAGACGGTTACCTTGTGAATGAACTTGAAGAATCAGAAGTGGTCGGTGCGCCGGATAGTGCTCTTCCAGTGACTGCAGCTGAATCGACCTTCAGCACTAGTGATCAACACGTCAACAGGACTTCTCAGAGAAAAACAAGTAGTCCAGCTTCGGTAACTAAGGCACAGGAGAGTGCCATTCTCGAATCTTGGAGAGTCAATTTTGAGGCGGATATTAAAGCTCGTGACGAGAAAGAAGCCGCCAAACGTACTGAGCTTGAGGCAAATGCGAAGAGGGTAGTCGTGATTTTTCCGCGTTTTGCTCCTCGATAATAATGTGTGCTAGACCCTTACCAAGAACAAGCTACAATTCACTCGTTATTAAAGCTCTTTGATTCAATATTTAAGTTCTTTAGGCTCTCTTTCTTATGTTCCTATAATCAATGTTTTATATGTTCCCGTCAAGCATTAGCGCTGAAATGCTTCAGCTGATTTGCGCAAAGTTTTTTGTTCTTGTTTGTTCTGTTTGTTTTGTTCTTGCTTAAATTACAATAACATGTTGTTTTCCCAAACTGATTTCCTATTAATAAAATAAACCTGTTTACCGTACCGGTTGACATCGGTGATGAACTTGCGTGTCAAATCTTTGGATTTTTCTCAACATTTTTGAGAGGATTAGTCTCAAGGTGTTTGATTCACAAGCCGTTCTTGATGCTGTATGTTAAGCATGTGTTTTGATTTTGAAACGTGTCATTGCTTTGGAGGGGATTACGCATGCATCACGAAATTCTTTGTGAATATTACATCAACTAGACTGTTTATTAGAGTCTGCATATTGTGCTAATGTCATGCTTCATCCTTGTTTTATCCAAAGCGTCAGTTAAATGTGCCTCTGAATTGATACGTGTTTACTGCATCTTATCCTGACCGCTGATCAACTCTATCTCTGTGTCATTTTTCTTCGCTGCTTATGCGATTGCTGTAGGAACTTTCGAGAGTTGTTAAAATTGAGTTAACTTCATCCCTTTTGATTCAGTTCGCACAACTTCAAGGTCTCCTATTTTCTTACATGGCTTATATTTCTTTGCCCTTCTTGTGAATCACCAGCCGGTGGAATGGCAGGCTGGACTAAAGGCAACAAAACATTCACTTAGACCTCACAGTTCTATAGACGATTTACTAAGTTTTCTGGGAAAGTTACTCTTCACAAACTGTAGCTCTTCAACCTGCTCTAGTGGTATTTAAACTAAAGCTAATTTGGTCGACTATGGAAGGAGAGGTTTGTAAATAGGTAGTTCTTAGCCAGATACATTTCTAGAGGAATTGCTTTCGTAATGGGAAGTCAATCGTTAAAGCAGTCTTGAGAGTGGCTTTATAGAGATTTGAGTTAAAACTACTGAATCCGTCAAATTAAGGCGGTTAATTACGAGTGCTCAATAAAATGTGGATTTTTTTATCAGCCACTAGTGCTAATGATACCAGTTGGTTAGTTTCAGTATGTTAAAGTCTATCCGCAACATTATTCGCTTGCAACGGCTTTTGTAGCTGAATCCATTTCTTCAGTCAAGGGGGAATTATCAACTTGTAGCCTTTGAAGTTAGAGGAATTATTTAGCTATTCCTTTTTTCTATCATTTCAGAATCTTTAGTGAATGTAAAATGGCTTAATTTGTCTTCAAGCTATTAAGGAACAGCCAAAGCTAATCAGTCGCGTTGGAGATATAGAATAGTGTGTGCTTATAGGCTGAGTACTTGGTTATTAACGGGAGTAAAACCGTTGCAGGAGTTGGAAACCTGGTACTCTCACTACCGACAGCAGATGGCGCTGCGATCGGCGGACAATCGGATGGATGCACCAAGAGATGCCTCGGGCAAGGCCTACGACGGCTTCTCGGGTCAGGCGCCCTCCGTTCGCGATACTGCAGTGTGGGAGAGTGTCTGCGGCATGTGTGACCTGACAGCAAGTTTGACCAATTCTCAACGGTTTATGTGTTCATATCATCCACTGATCTGTCAGTAGATTTCTGTGTGGTTGATTCGCTGCTTCATTTTCCCCCTTTAAACTTTTCGCCCTAGGTGAACTTCTTTTTGCATTTTCAAAAAAGTCGCAACTCTGTTTTACTCGTATTTTATGCTTCCGAACTTATGTGGCTAATCGGTTTCTTGTTTACTTATTGCGACATCCGATTTACTCCTAGGGTTACTCATTTATTTGCTAGAAGAATTGGAAGGCTAGAAACACGGATATTATGGTCCGATTTACAGGCGTCAAATGTGGGAATATCGGAGCAGTGCAAATACTTTACATTATGTACAACTGAGATGGACCCAAATATCTCATAACAACAGTCATTTCCTTGATTTAATCTGCGCTTTCTCACGCGTCTATTTTAAGGTATTGTAACATCTTCAGTTGTAACAGTTTGTAGGTTGATAACATCCTCCAAAGCTGAGCTCTAGTGATCCATCTACTACTTCACACTTCCTAGCCTAATTTATTTCCATTCTTGATGACATTCTGCTTTTTTTTTCGCCCGTAAGTTCGGATTCTCCATTGTTGATTTTGGTTTCGAATCCCTTTGTCGAAAATAAGTTCACAGACTTATCAGAAAGGCTTTGTTGGGTGCACGGGCAGTAAGGTCGGAACTTCAGTCACCAGACACGGTTATCTTGATTTAGTCGACAGAAAATTAGGAGTGACATGCTACTGTGAGCGATTTTCATGTGCCAAACAAAACACGAAAGCGATGTACATTCTTCTTATTCCGTTGCTTAGCTGTTTCCTAACCTTTTACTACCCGCAGATTATTGTAACTTGATTTCCAAATATTCATGTATTATACATTTGCTTATTTTTCGGCATAGCTTATTGCTTGCGTCTTCTATGTAGTGTTGCAATAAGGATTGAATCGGCACTGGTGAATCTTATGTTGTGAGCCTCTGTATTTCCCTCATATTGATTTGAGCCTTTTTTTTGGAGTTCTAGTACAGTAAATTTAATAAACATGGAGGACTAGCCATTCTTTATACTTTACGCAAACGGTCTTATATGCTTGTATAGTCTTGTTTAAATGGTGCAGATAAAAAGGTCAGAAGCTGGTGAGCTTTGGTGATGCTGTGCAATCGGCTATCCGGACACCTGGACAATACAAATGGCCCCCTCCCTACTCTTAAGATGCCACTTACTGGATATATGGATCAGTTTAGTTTAAACAAAACATTTTTTACGATTAGTGAGTTTACCCCCTTTTCTTGCTTCCGCTACAGTCAAAGCACACCAAGAGTACCCATGATCTCTCACGGATGCGCGGTTTGTTGCTTAACCTTAAGACGCCCTCATTGGGACAAACCAACTCAGCGTAGCTGATCGAGTGCGCCGTAGTCAGGATGTTTTTCTGGTTGGACTCTCCTCTACCACCATCTTACATTCGACTTCACACGCACCTTCCTAATTGTCACCTCTCCCATCCATTCTTGACTGCCTCTTTACTTGATCTTTCATTATGAATGCGTGCACTTGTACAAGTTCTCTACATTGTGAATATTTCAGTCCATTGTAGTCGCTGGTGTTGATGGTCCCTTGTTTTTCCTCATGTTTGTGTGTAATTTAATAACCGGAGTTGCTTGATTTTTACCATTCAGTGGTGTTTGATAGCTATTTGTGTTGGCCTGGGTAGCCAGCGTTTTGTGCTTTGCATCGCACGCAATACAACAGCGTAGGTTGTTTGTGCTATCAACTGATTCCATTTTCGGCTAATGAGAGCGGTACTTATTGACGCATTCCATGTTAGCTGATGTGCTGCCTCCGCTAGTGATGTCAATCTGGATCACGAGATAACCAACCTTGTAAAGGATCTGAGGTTACTTGTGTTATTAAAAAGACAGGACCTAATCCCTATTCTACAGACGTTGAGCTGTTTAAAATACATCAATGCCGCAATGAAATGGAACACTCGGTTGGGTCATCCGTGAATATGAGACGTAATCGACTGAAGTTGATGGATGTCGATTGATAGGAAGTGGACGAAGATGGGGGGCATTGTGAGTAATTGGTTGAGACTGGTAGGTACAATTCTTCGCTTACAAAAGCAATGCTCTTGCAATTACAGAATTTAGACTTGAGAATTCGCCCAAAGGATGTGTGCTGATTGGCACTCATTTCAGATATTCTGCCTTCTGATAAACATTTAGTAGCAACTGGCTCGTTACTGATGGAAGGCTACGGACTGTCGTGTTCCCAGACACAGACAGGTGAAGTTCTTAGCGAAATCGTTTTATCGTAACATTTTTGCAATGTAGGGTGGTGTTGTGTGTTCAACTACTTTCTGTAAACAAAGCAATTATTACCCCTTCTTTGTGCCTCCTAGCTAACCTATTTGTACTACTCCAGAGTTTTCTATAAAAACAGCTTTCCTTCATTAAATTGCGTTCAAGCCCTTAGTCTTCGCAGTGGTAGGCAAATTGCATCATGACCCAGGATCGTACAACGTTGTTTAAGTTACCATTTAACAAATCCTATTTACATGGGAGTAAACTACCTTAAATAGTTTGGTTCACTGAATCTCTTTTTAACGAGCTTTTGTAAAGTGGAGCGCTATCCATATGAGGAATATGCAAGACAGGCCAGAATTCGAAAAATACATCCTCTCAAAATGCTCGCATAATGTATACAAACTGTTGCAGGCGTGCGTGAATTAGTACACACGTATACAAATATCCCTACTGAGGTGTAATTTCTCCGCTCTTCCTTTCCTCCACCCCATTCCTCTCCTCCATCACACATTGATTGGCAACACTGGCACGTGCCTTGGCCAGAATTGTGTCGATCTTCCTCTCCAACGGCGAGGGTCTATTCGTCTTCTCCTTTTCCGCCTCCCTCGCATGCACTCGCTTGTGTCCACTCAGGTTACTTCGACATCGAAAGGACTTTCCACAATTAGGATAGTCGCAACTGTAGGGCCTTTTATTCAGGTGCAAGTTCATGTGATCGTCAAGGTTGGTTTTCTTTAGGAAATTCTTCTCGCATCCCGGTACCGTGCACGCAAAAGTCTTGCGCATCGCTCGATTTAGATGGATCATTCGATGGGTCAGGAGGTTTGATTGCCTCGCAAAGGCCTGTTTACAGCCAGGGTAGTCACAAGAGTAAGGCTTCTCACCTGTATGGATTCGGTAGTGGTTTATCAGTGCGTGATTATAACGAAATGTCTTGTTACAACCGGGATATGTGCAGGGATGTTCCGTGGGGTTTGAAAAATCCAGCGGTGTCTCTGTATCTTGCACTGAGATCACTGGTAGAAAATAGGGATTAACGAGGATAAATGGATGCTGGGCAGTTTCTGATGACTTTTGTTCCTTCTCGCCAGTGAGTTTTGGCCGCTTGATCAGGGGCAGTGGTTCTGCGATATCTGGATCGCTTGTTCCCAAACTTCCCAGATTTTCTGGAGGGTTTGGTGGATTCATTATTCTCAAATCCAAAGGTGATTCAGCAGATGGCGTTGTGTGTGTTGCTATATGAAGAAATTCGAGAGCACTTTTGGAAAGAGCCGCGGCTAGAGCGGACTGGAGGAGAGCGGTGGCTAGCAGTGGAAGGTTCACGGTGGTCGTGGAAACGCGACGAAGAAGGGTCTCTAGACTCACCGACGATGCTGAAGTGTAACCACCTTCTATCTGTATTGACTGTTCAGGCGCTTCATTGAGTTTTGTCGTTACCGTCTGTGCTTCCATTCCACAGCCGTGTGCGCGCTGGTGGACGTGTCCGAGGTGGTTCAATTTATCGATCGATTCTTCTGGCGTGCCAACCAGACTGCTGCAGAAATATTTATTGTCCCTCTGTTCCCTTCTTCTCTGTGCCTGCTCGCCCAGGTACTGGCTGATATGATTTATCAACTAGGTGAACATTATGGGATATTCAAATCCAAATTAATCCTGTCGGTAAAATTAAGATTTAATTTTACTTAAAAATCTATAGTAGCATTTAGTGTTCAGTAGGTGGTTTCTTTTTACAAGAACATCTTGCAAAACCCTCCATTAAATCATGAATTTTACGGTTTTTTTCCAACTTTAATTAAAATTAAATGCCAGTAATTGGCGGGAGTGGGAACGGTTTCAATACTTTGAATTTCGTTGATTAACAACTTATTTAAAACGTTCAGTGAAGTAGTACTGGTATACGTTGGACTAGACGTTATCAGCTATAAAAATACCAACTCTAGCGCTCATATTTGATGTTAGGGTTAATAATTGCAATCTTTTAAAGAGGTAGTTTTCGGGTAGTAGGATTTTAACCTTTCCAGATATAAATGTTAAAATAACTTGTGATCGTCTTAGGCCTTAACCCAACTTTGCTTGCTTCAATGTTTAAGTGAAACGCAGTTGTTGATACTTTTGCCAATACGGGAAACAAACGACCCCGGCCTTTGGTAGAGATTATATGTCGTAACAAAATGCACAAAACTGTCATATCAATTGATTCACATGCAATGCACATTCACAATTGCTAATCCCGTCCAATTCAAATCCATACCAGCCCTTGGTAGTCATGGGACACGGTTAAAGTAGACTTTGCTCGCATGCAATCCCGCCTATCTCTCAGCTCATAAACGTGATTCCACATTTCGCTACCAGACTGCCATTACCTTCACAAGTCGGTTTCATAGCTCTTTCATTGTTTTTAATGGCCGTGGCTACAGCCAGCTACTGCGCTGTTCCGCTATTACGTCAGTTCGAGCACTGATGGTTGCGGTTCCTTCTCAGACGTTCTGAAATAGGTGCTTATGAACCTCAGGTAAATGTACCTACTGAACCCAGCGCATGAAAGTGATCCTTCCTATTCTGCAGATATAAGTTTATTCTTCCCAGTAATCTTCATCTTGTGCGAGCAACTCTGCTTGTCAGGAGTAGTCATTTGATACTCCAACACAGCTAGTCAATTTGTCACTTCAAAAGCAGTAACTTGCGTACTCTTGTAATCCCTCCCTACGAATTATATTCTACAAAACGCAAGTACACAATTTTATTGAAAGGAATTACAACATCGAGCTTAACCTTTCACAAACTGACCAAGAACAGAAAGCAAGGATAGTTGAAGAAGTTGCATTACAGAAAAGCTGGAATGAAAACCAAAAGATTATGAAGGGGGAGAGCTTTAACCAAAATATAGAGACCAATTTGCCAAGACCCCAGTTATGTGCAGCCGAGGAGTTTTAAGCAAAGAGCCCTATAGTCTCCAGAAGTATCACCCTTGATCGCCGCTTCTAAGGTTTCACCATAGAGCTCCTCGTACTTCTCCTTGATGGTTCCCAAATCGGTCTGACATACAAGTGAACAAAGTAGAGGGTAGTCAACACCCAGAGGGAAGTAGCTATACCCTAATACGTTGTTTTATCTCATTATAACAGTGCTGCTATTTTTTTTAATTACCTAAAGAGAAATTATGGAGGGTATTGCATCAGTTAATGCAATCTCGTTGATCAGGTGCCACGAGTGATGTTTCAACAGTGTCTCGATGAAAGTAATTTCACTTTGGCGTGACAGACAAATTCATGCCGATGGAATAAAAACATGCAAGGAGGAAAGACGGTCACTTCGTAAATTGCTTCGCTTTAGCCGCAGACATAAGCTAACAATAGCAGCTGAAATAAGCTTTGTTTGCTAGACTTTTCTTCGTTTAAGGAGTCATCATACTAGGATAAGAACTGAGATGAATCGTATGTATTTTTTCAAATGTGAGCAGGGAAATTCCATTAAAAGGCGAATGAGGAAGTAGTTGCAAATTATAGCAATCACACTAGCATCTTCATTCACTGGAAGAAATTACTTTAAATTCATTCATCCTTGATGCCTCTGCAGTTAGGTCTCCGTGGAATGAAGGCCATTTATTCATTTACCACAACTTTTAACAGAGTTAAATTTGAATAAAGTACAAAATGGATCCGACACCCGACTTACGTCAGCCCTTAGGGCTAAAATGCGTTGCAAGGTGGAATCCCTTGTACCCGGTCCACTGATGGCAAAATGAAGAAGTTCGGCAAAGAGAGCAGCACGATCAATGGCGTATCGAACTGAATTTTTGCAAAAAAAAAAAGAATAGGAGAATTAAATCACTTTACTCAGTAATAAGGCGGACACACAGAGTGGTCAATCATACCTCTAGTCACGAGAAAGTGTTCAAAGTCTCCCGAAGTCTCCTTTTTTATTGCATCAATCAATGGGTGACCGTATGCCTACAATTAAAGTAGAACTGAAACGTTAAATCAGGTTCTAGTAGGTGTAGAATGCTTGCCGTCTAATTTTCTAACGTACTGAGTTAAATAATCATGGTTTTCATCGGTTTCCTCCAAGTATTTCTGCCAAACATTTTAGCTGCTTGGCCAAAGATGGGTTTCAATTTAAAATCATCCAACCTTTTTATCCAGAATATGCGTGAGTTCCACAGGGATGCTATCTCAACGCGGACAAGTAAACCCTCAATAAATGAATTGAATGGTTGGTTAGAATGCGATTAGTGATTGCAAGACAAACGGCTCAGCAGCCAAACGAATTTACTTATTCTAGGGCAATTTTTGATTTTGAAAAACAAATGAATAAGTGTTGACCTTGTGTTGAGACTGATTTCATATTTACAACCTGGAAGGCAAGCCACAGCCAATTCAGTAGAATTTGCTTGACAATATTCGACTAGTCGTGTTGGTACAAGGCTACGACATAGAGGAGCACAGCAGCTAAAATGATTACATGGGTGCCCTTCTGTGGTTGTAGCATTAAAATGAGGCAATTCAACGCTCATAATTGTTAAATTTGATGATTTATAATGAATACGCCTTGGCAATGGAATGACTGACCAAAGTCGAATAAATTTCAAGCTGCATTTACATGCAAAGATTGAGTTCGCCGAACTAGTGAAAGTCTGCTGGAGTGATGAGTCCAATACTTGCAAAAATAATTCCATTCCATCCACGAAGAGTAAGTGAACCAGACATCCGCCTCCCATAATCACAAAACTACCTTGCACAAGGTGACTAACACGTCCACTATCTGTTTTACATACTTGTGGTGATTCAATTTCCTTACGTGATTCTGGTGGCACAAATGTGTGACATGCGACCAATTTTAGTTTGTGGTCATTGTCTAAACAAAACTGTGTTGCAAACGGAGCTCGGTTTCCAGAAAGCAAAATGGATGTAGCATGTCCTCAGTCCAGGAATAATTCAATTTCTTTTTTTCACTAAGCAGCATCTCAATCGGGTAGATCGGTAGGGATACACTTGTTGGTGGCATAATAGAACAACAAAACACCACGAGCGTAGGAGTCAACTTTCCCACAAGGCCATAAAAGCGAGTGTTCTAACGTATTCCTCTTTTTGAGTAATGTATCATTGAGAAAAACATTTAGATTAGATTAATCATCTCCTTTACGATGACAAGCCTCTCTCGCTCCCTTAGATGCACACTACGATAATTGGCTTTATTGCATCACGTTTGACAAGTTTTCAAAGAAATTTACCCTTTCTGCTTAATAAAAGGACACAGTAGTAACCTAGTTACAAGAGAGTCTCGTCCTTTGTTCTCGGATATTATAAAAAATTGAACTTCTAAACAATGTAGAAGTTTGTAAATTATTCCGTGTATTAAACTGGGTGATAATAGCGCTTTACAGAATCGACGGAATGAGTTTAAAATTCAATTCTCTGAAGGCTTTGGATCTTTTTTTCGAATCAAATAAGGAAGCGATTTCAAAACCCGTCTCTCTCTATTTGTCGAGACCTAGAGCCGCCATATAAAATGCATTCAACTTGAAAATGGTTATAACTCGAATTTAAGGCACCGTTTTGTGGAAAAGCCTCAGAAATCCTCGGTTATTGCGGGTGACTATGGTCGATTATCAGAGAACTTTGCATTTACCGCATCACCTGCTGACATACAGGCAGGGATTAAGTTACCTTTGTGGCACACCTCTTCCCTATACAAAAACGTATGACAATGGCACTCCGCGCTGATTCAGTTCAAATCAAATGCGTGAAGGTAGATGACCTGGTAGATGAAAAGGCTCAACCGGTAAATAAAATTTGCTCCCCCTTTTATCGCTCCTTATTGTGGTTTATGTTTGAAACAGTAAAAAAAATTCTGCTTCTCTTTAACATCATTCTTTGGCGTCTTTTGTTAATTAATCATGCGAGCGCACTCAAGTGAAAATTTTTTGACTTGCCAATTAAACCCGACAGGGCACATGCGACGACAATGTGGTTGGTAAGGTCTTCCGTGCTACCCCGAAAATATGGATTAAGAACTGTACAGGGAAAAATAAAAGGACCTTGAATTTACCCGAGTGTAGGCCTCGTCCGTTAGGCGCATTTGAAGGAATGATCGGTTAATGATGGGACGCATGAAACGACTCTCCGCCGTGCCTGGTCGCCTTTAAGAAAGGAAGACAGTGGCATTTAACCACTACTCATTATTCTATTGTAATTTACAGCAGAGCACAGACTGCAAGCACTAGGTCACTGGACTTGGAAAGAGCACGCTTTTAAGTCACTTCTTAATAGCCCTAGTACAAACGACTAGTCAATTAATGTGATGATAATACGAAAGAGCACGTTGGAGTAGTATTTTAAAAGGAGCTAATTTCCAAGTGGATTTACTGAGTTGCCTTGCGTCGTCAAATCATGATCACTAACGGAACAAAAACTTAGCTAAAAGACCAGATTCATCTTGGTGCTGAAATACACACCTCGTGCAGTGTTCAAGCATGGGTAATGTTAACTCAGGAAGATGGTTAGGAGGTGACCGCTTGGCGAATATATTAAAAATAAAAACACAGATGTGCTATGTGATCAGATCAGCTCTACAAATAGATTTGTCGGTTTAACTTTTTAACAGACGTCATGAAACAATGAATGCCAACACTAAAATCTGGAACCGTCTCGTCAGGATATATGTACTTCTGTATTATCTAGTTTCCTGTCTCGTATATAGGCTGACATGGAAGCCTCCTACTTCATAGCCTTGATATTTGAAGTCTTTGTGTATTGCTAATTTTTATATTTAAGTCTCTGGACATCGCAAGCATTAATCATCACTTCAAACGGAGACAAGGATTACCATTAGGATAAGGTACTACTACTAGACGAGGCGTAAGGCATTGAGTTATCAGTGTATCACTCATTCAGGCTATTTCTCAAGAAATTTTGTACATCATTGAGCTGAATTGATCAGCCAATTCTTTGTCATAATTATTGTTTTACCTTCTAGAAGTGAAGAACTCCCCATGAACAATTGCAGCTGATGTCCTTCTCACGCATACGCAAAGGAGGCGTAGTCTTGTAGGTGAGGGTTTTCGAAATGTGACATGATTACTGAGTAAATCGTTTGGCGATGACTAGTGCTACGTTTGTGAGCTTAAAGAACGCTGCAATATAGAAGCCATTTCTTGTCACAAGTCACGACAGGAATTCATGATTTGATTAAAAGATGCAAAGAGCAAGAAACTGTTGGTCTTTTAATCTTCGTTTCATTTCTTGATAGTTGTAAGTAGGACCGATTTACTTAGCTTTCAGTTGTTTCACACGGAAACCAATTGTTACATCACTCGAGGTAAACACGACTGGGTCTTGTTCTCGACACCAGAACCCAACAAATTGTTTAAACCATATAGCACAACTTTATCAAGTCCTGTACTAAGCTTACGAGAGACTTTGACTAATGCTTAAATTAGCCAAAGAGGCTGGCTTAAATAACATTTGAAGTTTGAAATAAGCAGAAAATAGTACAAAGCAAACCGAGGGGTACTGATAAGCTGACCCATATCTATGCTCTAACAGGCATGGAAACAGTCACACCCGTTCACCAGGTCCCTACATGTTGTAACCAGCCATTGCAGCAAGTTGTACTAGAAGTGGCACGAACTTTTCCCGACGCTACTTACTTTACTGGTGAGAACACAGTGAACAATGGCATGAATTTGATTTTTGTAATTGTTCCTATAAAGTTTTGTCGACTATAGTCAAACTCCTAACACTGCATACTAAACAAACTACTTTTTAGTGCAGTGTCTACAATAACACGAAAGACTGAGGCGTTTTAATCATCGTGTTATCTTCGTTTCTTTCTCGAGGCTAAATGTATACCACTATATATTTCTTGTGGTGTCAATGATAACATTCAAGAACAGGAAGAGAGCTGTTTAACATAAGGGAATTTGTTACAACTATATATTTTACTTCGCGGACCCTTACATGCCCCGTAAAGTCAGTTTGGCAATCCATTCACCATATCAATGCTAACAGTGACCCAGTCCTTCTGTATGCTTACAATAAAAGTCTTTTTTTACTACTTACCCTTCACCACAAGCGTACAGCTCCTTCGCATCACTTTCGGCAAGACCGGGGTTCACGACCTGATTGAGTGTGCAGGGTGTTAAACATTTGAGTTGCATCGCCTGAGGTTCATCACACTGGCCTGAGAGTGCTAACAAAAGCGCTGCGCAGTAGTCGCCGCTTGTGTCGCCCTTGATCGCATCCTCAAGGTTTTCTCCTCCGCTCACTAAAAAAAGGTAAATTTCATTAGTTAGACGAAGACACTAGTGAGTCGACTTAGTGAAGAGCCAAAGTTTACACAGTGAAAAAATCGGGTAATGAGCATTGGTTGAACACAACCAGTGTGTCACATGAACAAGCTTGCGCTTGTAAGTCTACTAAAGGAATGGACTTTAAACAAAACATTGTGACTAACTAAAAACATATATGACAGGCTTTGTGGTTATCAAATGAACTTGAATAGCCAATCCTTTGAATGGTGCACAACAATGCAAATTAGGTTTCAACTTAAAAAAGGCATAATGTCTCATATGTTTTGCTAGATCTTGCAGAAACGCATGGTTCTGGCAAAGTAATCGCCGGTTCATTTACTGTGGTACTTATTACCCATTAATTAGTAGTCTATCTATAAATCGTAAATAAAGGTATTCATGTTAAACTCCTTTGTAATTGAAACCAATATGGCAGAAAAGGATCTCTCTATAATCACAGGCTAGTATGCCAGGCCCATTTTTTTAATGGGCTATGGACAGACAACTTATATGGAAATGTAGACAAGACAGATTCGCAATTCTGGTCACTAAACAAGACCGCCGCTGCCTTAATTCGCTCTTCCTCCAACAATGGGTAGAGAAGCAATGCATTGAGCGTTTTGAAAGGTGTTCAAATAGCTTATTTGAACTCCCTTTGTTCTCGCAATAGCTCTGGCTTATAAAAAAATCAGCCAACACTCATATTTAAAGCAATGGTTAGTTTACAAATGTGGAATCCGTGTGAATTGTTAATATATTATGAAATTCTATGGTTAAATTCAACTCATTAATTTATGCGAAAATTATTTTGCTGTTTCATTGGAGCATAGGCTAGCACTCGTTAAGAAAGCAATGCTAAGTAACTTTTCCGCGGTACAATGGAAATGAAGTAAGAGGGTGTTCTTAAAACCTTGGACAGCCTAAATAAATCAATATAAAACCCAAAATTTCACAAATAAAATGAAAAAGCACACCAAAAGATTGTTTACTAGCCACAAACCTTCCTCAAAGGCCTCTTTCAAATGGGGGATGTCCTCCTTTGAGCAACCGGCAATGATTTCATTAAGCACGCGTTCCTTAGTGCCAGCCCCCTTCATTGCCTTGTAAAGAGCCTCTGCCATCACCTGCCACGGTGATTGGATTAACAACAAGACAAGCTCTCGAAAGTGGCCACTCAGTTCACTCTTTAGAGCATCATGCAGAGTCTGAAATGAAACAAAAACGGTCGTGATCTAGGTTGGCTGAACTTAAGGCTACACTTCTTGATAACAGTCATGCTCTCTGCAAAATGGTTAGGGTTCCATGTTTACCAAATAACTTTGTAATCGACTTAACGAAAAGTTAAAGGTCTGCTTTGTAATAGACCGCAAAATCATGCATGACTTAGGATACGTATATAGATAAATAGTTCAAGTATTGTGGCATTTGGACCCATAGTGAAGAATTGGCTTTAGAAACAAGGAAACCTGACTTTCACCGCATAGGTTAAAAGCCACAGTTAATGATGTTTTATTTATCATTTGCGTATTTTCAGACCCCGGTGTTTCACGGTGCAAATGTTCGTATTCATAAACCTGGTGAATTAAATTTGTGGCCAAGATAGAAAAAATTTATTTTTTAAGGATCTGCTCCTAAGGAAGAGGTCATATAAACCAAGAAAAGGCCATACGTACGTTTTATAAAGGGAGATTAAGAGTGAAGTGGCGAAGATAACTTTAGCCACAATATTTTGTAAAATAAAGATTACGGTCTATTAAAAAATTATCAGAATGGATATGAAAAGCGACGATAAATGAAACTAATAATAAAGACCTGTAAATATGCTTTCAGGGAGAATAAGCCAATTTTTTTTTGTAATTCTTTGCTGACATTAATTAACAGTTCTAATTGTGACCGCCTAATTACCACAACATAACAATCAGCAAATTGTTTGTCTTAAATTGCTATTACCCTACGTAATTGCACGTAAAGCAGTGCATTCACTTTACCGTAGTGGAATTCCATAGCCTGCCTTACATGGAAAAGACCATTACCACGCTTTAAGACCAACTATGTCAGAAAGAGTCCTAAAGGATCGCCCCTTATTTAAAAGCACCTTCTCTTTTAAGTTCCTGGGATGTCAAATAATTTTCCCTAACATTATCTATTACTGATTCTTTTATTGAGGTTTCCACAGATGTATACAAATTAGTAGTTTTTTTGTTAACAACTGAACTAAGATGCAGGTAAATTTTATCTAACAATGGAAGGACAAAGTGGTTAGTCCTAATTAGTTTAGGCACGATGTCTGAAAATTGTAATACATTTTACTTATACCGTAGTTGACTACGAATGGACATCTACATCAGGGTGGACCTAATAGAAAAAGGCAGGAGCGTAAGAATACTTAGGACCAAATTTGCCTTTCCTTTGACCAATTTAGGCATGGGCATAGAATGTCTCGTTTTAGCACAGTGCAGAGGTCAGAGATCACAATGACCTCTTAACATACTTTGCTCGAAATCGATGTATAAGCTTCGCGAATGGCCATTCTTTCAGCTGAAGTTCGACCTCCAAGAATCTCGATAATTTCAGCTTCATTTGTGCCTAAAATGTTGAACAAATATACAGCAACTTTTTGCCATTATTTTCCTACTTTCTTCTTCTCAGCATAGTTTTACAGTTGGAAAAAAAACTTCAAAAGTTCTGCTTTTGCTCAAATTTTGATAAGTAGACATTTTAGTTACACAGTTTAGTTGATTACTACCTGCCTCACTTGGAACGGAATTTCTACTTACCTTTAAAGAGGTAAACTGTACCATTTCCTAAGCAGCTAAGACGGCTCGAGATGTCATCTAAAGTTTATCATTTAATGAACAAGGCCAGTTTTTAAAAATGGCATTCTGACTCAAACTTACATTGTCTATAGCGCTAATTGTTCCGGGGTGGTTCTTCTTCACTGATAAATTAGAGGTCTACTTTTTCTACTATTGGTTGGATTTAAACTCTCACGGATGCATGTGGAGCGTTCTTTTGAAAAACTTATCAAGTATTAAGGACAAATTTAAACTGCCCAGCTAAAGCCTTTGTAGATAAGTCTATTAACTACTTTTAGGCACTAAAAATCGCAAGAATGGTTAAAGTTGCTTTCTCATGAAGCATCTTTAATAAGTGAAAAAAAGGAGCAGTCTGTTCCAAGACCTAAGAGTTACGGTAACAGAAATGCATAGTGACGATCCTCTGGTGGAACTACAAGTGAGTGCCCTTTTTACAGAAAATGTTTAAACAATTATGCAGAAGTGAACCTCAGTGTTACAAAAACAAATTTCGAGTGAAATACTCTTTGTTCAATGTAATAGTGGATCGTAAGCACCAAGTGGTTTTTGCGTTTAATGACAAAGACCCATAAGATACCAAAAACAAAAGGCGAGTCGACTGCTTAAAAACACCATCATGCATTATTCACGTAATTGCTAACACATCAAAGAGTTCCGCAGAAAGCTGCCCTAAAATTCCCAAAGTATGGCCATTACGCTAAAAGCAAATTCCACCATGTTGATTCAGTACTTTATACAATACCATTATAGTTCACGTTAGCTCAGTTCTTTAATAAAAATTCCTTTACCCTCCTCAAAAGTATTAAGGATTGTACCATTTTAACATTTTGTTGAGTGTCCAATGGATACCTTGTTATCCAAGAAGTAAGTAAATGTAGCCACGGTCTTGAATGAACTTTATTTTTAGGCGAATTCAAGCTATTAAAATGGTGGGTTTGCCGCAAAATTTTGGTGATAACCATCTAGTTAAGGAAGCTTAAAAGAGCAAAAAGAGTAAAGGTGATTAAACGTTGTGAAGATCGCGAGTTAGGATTATTGTGTAACAAAATCCACTTTTTCATCCCAATTCGATTATTTTGTTTAGCTTGAAACTATTCCTGGATTCACTATTAGGCAGAAAAACAACTACAAACATTTCCTTGCCGAAATCTTTAGTACAAAAAAAAGACACTTAAAAGGCAGGTACCGATCCCTCGCATTGCACGCTTCAGATGCTCAGCATCAGCGGTCGGTGAGAATCCCGGTGTTGGAGTAATGGTCGGTTTGTATTTCTCCCCATCAGGAGTATATAGATGAATCAAGGAGCGGCAGTAGAGCCTAGTTGTAAACAAGCTATTCAGATCAAAATAAAACACGAATTCGATCCCTACGCCCTCTGTACTGTTATTCAGGAGATGACGATAAACATTTGGAAGATTAAATTCACTTGTAAATGAAGAAGGCTAACTGTTTTCCAGAATGGGTAATACGTAGTTTAAGCATTTGTTGACATGAGCTTCAAGCACAAGTGGCAAATGCCAAGGGCTTAAATTTTGCTTCCGTTCATCGGTTAAAAATCATCGCATGATGCAGTTTAATGGTTGCATTTCGCTCTGATTACATTCATTATTTAGATCTTTACCACTTAGGACTTATACTATGGCATGAATATAGTCTTTTTGCTTGGGAATAATGAAAAGGTCAAGCGTCAACTTACATAATCGCACACGGAGCGGTGAAAGTGGCCGCTATACCCGCGTATAAAAGCGCTCGATACGGCGGGCGCAACCATTGGTCGTGGATTTGGACCAATGACGTATTAGACGCCACTGATTGGTTAATTAGTGACTCGCCTTTTTAGGGCTGCAGTCAGGGCAGTTTGTGTTAGAAACGCGGTCTCCTCACATGTGAGCATTGTAACGGTCTCCTACGTGAAAGATAGGCATCCATAAATGTGTCATATTTGCTACATGGTTCTAGTGTAGACAAAACATTGCGAGTCCCACAGATTAATCGAAAATGAATTTAAAACTGGATAATGTCTATTCCAGCACTGTAGACGGGGAACACTTAGACTGCATTCTTCAAAATGGAGATAAGCCTGTTCAATCAAACGAAATGTGGTATCAATAAATCCAGTGAGTGGAAGTGTTTTGACGCTTATTTTGATGCATTTGTGAATTACGAGGTATACGTGCTACTTAATTTGGTTCCAGAACTTATAAGTAGGTGGCAAAGAGCACGTAGAGAGAATGGTCAATCAAGTCGTTACTCAAATCATTTGCACTCATAGAGGTGGTACCTATGGCGCACTTTATGAAAGACAGTTAGAAAAACCATGGCCTTGAAGCACATGTTATTCAAACTACGTCGATTTCTAGATTGGCTGACACTATTTATTCAACTGCGCCCTGTTTTTTGGCGCTAGCACGTTAATTCTGAATTCAGTTTAGGCAACATTTGTGCATAAATACAAGCCACATTTAAGCAGCTAAATTATCAACACTCGGAAGTCAGCTAGCATACATGTGGAAGCTTTCAGCATCTTTCCAATATTTTAGACAATAAATTTGGTGATCTCATTAAAGGAAGGAGATTAGCATGTAAAACCAAGGTACAAAACTTTAGCTAAGGTACCTCTAAATTATAAACACCTAAAGAAGGTAGTAGCAGTTTATCGCCTTTTTGTCCGGCAGTTTACCCACTCGAGGCATTTCCCAAACACAGTCAAGACATCTAACTACATGACATTTGTTATTTTAGCATATCAATACTTACAAAATTAAGCGGTAGAATTAAGAAAGTAATGAGGCTTTCGAAGAAGCATGCTCACTTTTTTGCCAATTCATTTTTTGAAAATCTTTTCGAACCAGAATTTGCAGAAATTTTAAAGCAAAGGCATACATATAAAAAGCAATTGATGTGTACAACATTACAAAATTTACAGCAACTTTGTAATCAAAGCGTACTCCATTCCACATAATACTACACTTTTTAAATATACGTTTTTACTGTTTGTGAAGTTGGATCCTTTCCTTTCCCCTTTTCGTGATAGGATACTTGGAAATATGTAGAGGAGGCTACTCACTTCATAATTCAGTCTACATATTGTGAAATTCTAAAAGTTTCAAAATATGACACCATTGCAAAAATGAAAAACAATCGTTGGCACAAGCATTGCCTGAGGGACTCGTATACGGTGTGCTTCATAACCCACCGACCTTGCGCATTCACAATGTAAATATGATTTTATTCCATTAATCAAGCTTACCTTTGTTAAAAGGTTTCCTTGCCGTCTTGCCTTAAATAAAATGATATTCCGGTGTGATTCTGTTCTTTAAATCTCCATATGAATGCCTTTGTGTTGAATTAAAACTGAGTTGTACGTGTGCAAGAAATTCCCCATCTGCAGATGGAAGCAGCATTTTTATGACATCCTGTCTTATGTTCTTTTAAATGGGTAGTCCGCTGGCTGCAAGTGTTGTGTGGGCCATTTCTATATGAAACTTGGAACCATCCGCCTCTAGCTTTGCTGTCAATTTGGCGCAAATCTTCATATTAATGTATTCACCACCTGCAATACAACACTTATGGGTTTACCACTTTCATCCTGGCCTCAGCTCGGGTCCCTCACGCAGCTCTTTCCAAGATAAGCATAGAATCATATTTCAGGGAAGAGTTTTACAAGCACGTACCCTTTATCCACCCATTATTTTACAAAAATCAAGCAAAATGATAAAGACGTCATTTGAGTAGGTTGTCTGTGAGGTCACCTAACCATTCCGCACCATCATAAGGCAGTGATTTACAAGGCTTTACAGCTGATGACCCAAATGTTCTTTGTAGGCTCACACAAGGTGTAAATGATTGGCATAAATAGGTAATCATTTCACCTCAAATGGAAGGAGAATGCTAATAGAGGAGATTTACGTATTTTGGGTAATTGGCCTCAGTACAGCTTATCAAAGCAGCTTATTCACCCAATACATTTCCCCTTTTTAATTCTGCGGGCTTTTAAAATAAAATGTAGTTATTCGTATAAGCGCGATCGCAATTGTCTGCAAATTAGCTATTGTAATGTTTGATAAGATTCATAATATCACACTTCATTATGGAGGACTATGTTAATACTCCATTTGAGGTAACTTCCACCCATCCAACTGAGTGTAAAATTACTAAGCAATTATCGTGTCCCCTTACTGGGGGTGTAGGAGCATAATTCAGTAGTAATAAATAGGTGAGACAAATGCCAAATCTCTTGGATTTTAAAGCCCTGCAATCCATTCCTGCATTTTCAAAATGAGGGTAACAATTCTCCTCATTCCTCTATGTTGCGACCTCTACACGAGTTCATTTGACAACGAAGCATACTCATGGACATCAGGTTGGCTAGTTTTTGGGGCTATTTATCTTGATATCCTGCATAACCTTATTAATTTATCCTTTCCAAGGCTATTCGGTCTTTTTATGATTAGTCTAATAAAATGTATCCCTCTCTAATAAATGCAGTTCTAGTTAAATATGCACTTAACTAGGTGATCAGTTTGTGTATAGCAAATGAATTACAGGTCTGGAGTGTCAAACAATGATGGAGAAATAAGTGAGTCGCTGTGTGGCACTAATCAACTGAGAATTATGAAGGATTTAACCTTTCCACATTATGCTGCATTAAATGCTGAACCATTTTTAAGACAATAAGTAGTATTTGTGGATCTTATGATTTCCAGCGTGACATCATGTATTGCTCCCACCGATATGTGAATATCTTATCCAAGTAATCCACCTGAAGATTAATCTGAAGTCCTACCGAGGTGCCACAGTTGATCCACTTCCCATGACACTAGCAATTACTTTAGCATTTGTCAATTCTGTTTAAATAATAAAGATCGTTTTTTGAAGGTTATAAACCTAAGTACTTCTTACATCTGGGTATTCTTTTACCAAGCACGGCTGAATTTCGCCTCTTGGTCTTCTCCTATCTGCCCACATCTCCATCCATTTACTTATGCAAATTTAAGTAGTTATAGTAAGTGAATATTAGTTAGATCATATACTTACATGGATTTAGTTTCATTTGTCTTTATGCATCTTCCGGTTTTGGACAATCCTTAAACAGCCTTCTTATTCTTCTACATTAACAATCCTGTTACAAAATCAAATTCGTTATGTGAATTCTGACAATCCCTTGATAATGAATAGCTCGCATAGCCTATACTGGAATGCAAGATACGTAGTGATTTTTCCCTAATCTATCTAAAAAATAGAATAAACGCTCGTTTTAGAAATTCAGTTGTTGGTTCTAATTAGGCGTTGAGTAACTATGGTGATGAGTGATAAGAGAAAGGGCAAGAGGAGGTGAGTATAACATAGTAGATTTATTCACTTACCCACCTCCTATCCAGCTATATGATGTCGCAGCTTGACAAAGGATCTAAAGTTCCCTGTATAGATCCATCGACGGCTTTAAAAGGAACACCGAAAGTGGTATTAGTCTATGCGATTCTATCTAAAAGTTCGTGGAAAATTTTACCTCCTTCATTGAGGCGTTGGTTCTTAACATCCTTGCCTTATCTTCATCACTGTAGTGGAGCAAATCTGACTGAAAAGGTGTCATCAAAGGAACCTGGTCCGAGGAGAAACGAAACAGGTTAGAGAGAGGGACAGAATAAGCTTAGGAAATTCCGGGAAGCGAAACTGAGTGTTGGAGTGAACAATAGAAGGGTGAAGGTGCTGGCAGAATCGGCAAGGGCAGTGTCTGTGTAAAGACTGCTCCACTTTTAAGCAAACCACATTCTTTACCATTACGGCGACATATAGTTCAATCGTAGTAGCCATTTGACGGTTCCTCAACCGATATGTACCAAGCTTTGTGGCCTTCCACTCCGTTGTTCTGACGCCGCTCCTTATCAGCGGTGGCGGGCACAACACCACTACCGGTCGACACATGGAAAGTTGGGTGAGTTTCTAAAACAAAAATTTTAGAATTCCCCAAAAGGACGGGAATGGCGTTGTGATTTGAGTTATTCACCACCTATGAGCTAAATCAGTGAAACTTAAGATTTTTCAGCATTTGCGAGCATTTTCGCGTTACGACTGTACTCTACAGTTAAGTGCCAATGTCTCATATAATCAAAACATGCTTTAGCAATTTGCGGACAACTTACCTGGGCTAAACTCGGCGTTTTTGATACAAAAATTATCCTTATTAGCTTCTTTACATGGTTGAAGAATACAGAATAGACCTATATAAAGTGGATTTGGTATCAAATTACGGGTTTTAATGATATATTTTATAAAACCATACAGGAATTGAGACGAATCCCTATTTGTCATTGGCAGAACCTAGTTATAAGCATTTTTCGAGGCATTATGGGAGACGATTTGCAACCAATTAGTTCTCTCTGATAACACAGGAAAGAAAGAAATAAATATTTTACCGTTATTTTCAGTACTTGAAATAAACTTTGTTTTGAGCAAGCACTGCGGTATTACTTTAATTTGAACCTTATACAAAATTGCATTTCTCAGGTAAAGGATGAGTTTGAATGCCTTTTAAATTACAGTAAACGCATTTCTCATGCTAAAATCAGCACATGAACCTATTAAGTAGAGAATAATTCTGATGAAATAATGAAATTTGATCAAACTCTTAAAAATAAATTGCAGAGCATTGACATTTATGCTGTTTACATTAAAGTACGTCCACTTTGTTATTTCGATCCATTTTACACGTCATTCTCAATATTTCCCATTGATGAACCCCAGTAATGGTTATCACATTATCAGTTAAATGAATTTTTGTCACCCAGGAAAAATACTCTGTTAAACCACTTGTATTGTCGATTACAATGAAACTCCCGCTATCGAGATTTATAGGAAGGAGACTGCCTTGATAAATCACTGGTAAAGCTAGTCAACTTCCATTGAAACGCCGTTTACAATACTTAGTAAATGGTAATATTCTGATACTTATATGTTCGTCCCCCTTCATCTCTTAACTTACTTATTATTTAACGGTATCTGAATGTCATTTGGAGTTAATATTAGTTATACACTATTTCTACAGGAATATTATAGGAAGCAAATTTACCCAAGAACGACGGTGACCTGGTCTCCTACAGCTCCTCTGAAGAAAGCATGTGACTGGCAAAAGTCTGCATCGCTAGGATGACTCTTTTTTAAAAAGTCTTCGTAGACTTAGCCAATCATGAAGAATACCCTCAATTTCAAATGATCGTTCGTGGAGCAAGTTGCTGCTAAAGACTGTAAAGTTGGTGGTAAACATAGGCTAAAGTATCCTTTTGTAACAATACAAACAGTACCAACCCGCTCAGCTATTGTTGTGGTACCAGAGCGGCCTATGAAGACGTTTTAACCAACAAAGTACGTAAGACGTTGGAAAGAGAGGGGCATATACCACGAGACCAACATTAGGCGAAAAAAACGGGAGATTAAAGAGTCCAAGTTATCTCGTGAAAAACTAGTTCTTCGGTTTGCACTTGTACTTATTGTAGAGAAAATAAAAGTTTGATTTAATGAATTTTGAAAAAAAAGGATAACAAATTTACTCAAAGAAACGAATCAAGCCACGGAGATTACTCAGAGCTCTTACTTACTTCGGCAACAACCTATAGTAATCTTCAAATACTTTGGCGAATTTGTAGAAAAATATTTGGTTTAATCATTTGTAATTAGCAGTTTCGCAGAAACTTTCATTCCTCATTATGTTTTTATACGTTTCCGAATTCTTACCTATAGCCGAATCGTTCTTGCCACTGCTACTTTAATTTAAAACTCTATAAATACTTCTCAAAATAGTTTTAGTTGAATATGTACAGATACAACCAATTTATTGGCTAAGAGTAAATAATGCATTTAAAAAAAATTAACCGTAAAGTTCATGGGAGACCAAATGAGTAGAAATGCAGTTCTCAAAGAAGCACCGTATTCAAGAGCGAGAAAAATATGTGGCTTCTTAAATATACGCTTTTAATAAAAAAGGACAATAATGTGTGTTTAGCGTCGTCTTGATTTAATATGTATAAATTCCAGTAAAAAAGAAGGGATTTCAATAGTTGGTCCTTTTTCAACGGGTTGGGAGTAGGTTGCCTTTTGGAGCAAATAAAACGGGCACTCAGCAGAAGGAAGGGAGATTCTTGTAAAAGGGAAAACGTTGTTGGGAGTCTGCATAGGAAAAGAAGCTTTAATAGTGAAATGCGTTAAATGTCCAGAGCTGGCTTGTGACGCGATACTTGGTGTTGATTCACTACGTTACACCAAAGCTGCCCTAAATTTTGAGGAAGGCACTTTTTCTACCCACCGGTGCAATGAAACCAACACAGATGGTTTGCTATTGAAAGAAGACCCAGGTGGCATCTGCGGATCTCCTTTTTAAGCTGCAGTCATCCCCATAAACAACTTAGATGACCTTCGCGCACACCTGACTCACATTTCTGATGACTAGAGGGTAGAATTTCGCCAGTTTCTGATTAGGCACACGAAAGTATTTGCATAGCAAGGCGCTAAGCCGGGACGAACAGGTACCGCCAAGCATACGATACCCATCTGGCAACCACCCAGACGTATTCCACCTCCTCCATCAGAAGAAGTTACAAAACCATCACAATTAACATGATGCTCTCCAATTGCACTGGTAAAGAAGAACGATGGTAGCCTCCGATTGTGCACTGGCTAGGGGGAACTGAAAACCGCAACTAAGAAGGACGCATTCCCATTACCCTACATAAACATTTCACTCAACGCAAACAGCATTGATTAGTTTATTCCCAAAAGCACTGTATAATATACCTCGATGATATTCGCATCTTTGGTAGAGATATTCGAGAGCATAACGCCAACCCAAGACTAGTATTCGACTGTCCGCTAGACGCAGAATTGATCCCAAACCTGAAGAAATGAAGTTTTCTGTAATGCTTAATTACCTTCCTGGGACTCACACACTCGTCAGATGGGATGACAGTCACTGGACACCATGCAAATCAAGTGAGGACATGGTCAACAACAACTAATCAGAAAGAGCAAATTACTCCAGGCGTTTTGTTAAAGGTTCTGCTAAGCTCGCCAATCCGTTGCAAATATTAACACTAAAGCAGGCAAAATAATCAAGTTGGAGAAAAAGTAAGATAAAGTGTTTAAAGAACCAAAACGAATGCACTGCTCTGCACTGATTCTAGCATTACCCAACATTAAATCGAGCGTCCCAACGTTCCTACTGAGCACGGATTCGAGCGATGCAGACGTGAACGATGTACTCTCACGAAGGGACAAAAAAGGAAAGAAACACGTCATTGCCTACGCGAGTACTAGACTCAGCAAAAAAAGGGACAGAAAAAAAGCAATGCATCATGAGCTGTTAGCTATCTGCTCAATGGCTAGACATTTCAGACACTACTTGATGGCGAGGAAGTTTATGGTAAGAACGGATCATCAAGCATTCAACTGGGTAAAAGCACTGAAGGATGCTGACCGCCCGGTTGCACATTGGTACGAAGTTTTGCAGAAATATGATTCCACGATTCAATACAAAAAGGAAATACGCATAGCATTGCCGATGCTCTATCTTGGCAGAAACAGACGATGTCTTAGTGAGAACCATACTTTTGAGCTACTCTACTGAAAATCATTGAAGAATTGCGCGGAGTACCGGTCCTGATTTGGCTCTGATTTACGAGAAGTTCCCCACATCCTCTTATAAACTCACAGCGGAAGGGATGACCCCATCGAGCAAAGCTGCCAGATGAATATGGTAAGGATTGTCGAAACTCTCTCTAAAGGTGAGGTTTTATGGTACCAAGAAAGCGTCGAATCTCCTAAGCGCCTAGCGGTCCCTGTCTTATTTGTACAAACAATTCCTTAAGTTACACTAGCAGCTGAGCCACGTGGGTAAAGAGAGGACGGTAGATGCCTCGAGTGAAAGGTACTGGCGGCCCTTGCTCACCCCATACTTACTAGACTTCTGCTGAACCTGTATCTCTCCCAGCAGCTTTAAATGGCCTCACTCTTAAGCAATCGTACCACTGCAGCCTATGCCCATGGGTTTCCCAGAGGAAAGAGCAGGTACAGACATTATAGGTCTACTACCGCCTTTCAAGAGAGGAAACCGATGTGTTCTGGTAGTGGGAGACTATTTCAGAAAATCAAATGAGGCGAAATCCAAGAAGACAAGACGCTGAATTGGTTGCTTTAGCTTTCTTCAGTCAGTGAATTTGTCAGCATGGCAAATGTTCAACCAGAAGACTGGGATTTAAGCACATGACGTACAGGGCTACAGTCCATACATCAACACACGATTCACCGTTCAAGATACTCACAAGTCATGAAATGGGAGGGTCTTTCTATAACTCTCCGCCAAACATAAAAGCGGCAACCAACAATGTGCAAGAGTACTTGCTGTGTCTGAAAGAATGCATAGGAAAACATCGTAACGTCACACGTAGACACTTACGACCGTCTTATATCAGACAGAAGAAATAAAACGGCAAACGCAGCTAAACTAACGCCTATGGAGGAGACTTAGTGCAAATATACAAGCCGATCCCCCCCAACCTTCCCATTAACCTTGAAGCAAAGATCCGTTCCTAGTAGTGAAAGTGCTCTCGCCTACAAATTGCCTCATCTGCAGCGCACAACTTCGTGCCCAGCCAATAACTCTTTACCACAACAAAGAAGAACTATGCAAAGATACATCACCAATCGGATTCGATGTCGAAGTTTGGGCACTAACTAAAGGAAGAAAATCGCCGAGTGGCAAATTTGAAGGAAACCCGTAGGGGAGCACAGAAAATGGAGCTAAAAAGACGAGGGACGTATGTAGAGCTTATGGTATTTAAAATGGACCCTTTTAAGAGGAAGCAGGCAGTCAACTCAAATCTCGTAATGGATGAGTGGGTGAAATCTGCCGAAGCAGGGAATTCGTCAGACTCCTGATCCCCCAAACCTGTACCTATTCTTATTGACTCTACTTAACAAGCATGTTTTAATCAAATCAAACTCCTCTTTTAAAGGACATGAAAGCCCGAGAAGAGAAGAAAATGGGGATTGTGCTAAACAATAATGTTTCTCGAATACGGATTATTCAAAGTAACTAGAAAATTTCCTTTGATTTGTTTTGAGAGGCAATTTAACATTTTCATTTATGACTATCTTTCAGATACGGTTGTCAAAGTTCGGTGATATTACCGATGATATAGGTACGCAAAATATTTCAACTGCATTTGGCAATTCTACACTCATAATAAGAAGAATGACGGGTTGAATCTGTGCTTTTTTAATTAATTTCACACCACTGCACACCTACTCTTTAGTCCCGCATTTTAAGGCTTTATAGCCTCCGCAACCAACTGCAAAGAGACAAGAGGCGTTGGAGGAGCCAATGCGAGGATGGAGTGTCGATTGGGTGCTTACTGCTAAATTGAATTTCACAGGACCCGTTTTAACGAAATGCATAGGTCTCTGCGCAAAGTTGCTACTCTCCTCTGCGTCGGCGGCTTTGTGTTTCTCTTTTGTGTAGCTGGTTACGGAGTTATTCTTCAGTTCCAACTGTTTAATCAGTTTTCAAATGGCCCCAGAGCTGTCATCCTCAATCCAAAAGACTCTGTAGCGCTGGGTAAACGACACTACTTTGCTTCCATGAGTCTTAAACAAATTGATGAACTCTCTGAAGACCGCGCGAGAAACCTTACCCCTCCCCAATTGGATTATCCCCTTGGTGAAAAGGTAATCATACTCGTGCCTTATCGCAACCGAAAACTGGATCTCCTTATATTTCTGCTTCACATGACACCGTATATGCGGATCGTTGGCACTCCATACGAAATTCTGGTAACTGAGCAAGTGGGAAAATCACGATTCAATAGGGCAAAATTATTTAACGCGGCATTGAGGGAAATTTTTAATGCCAAACCAGGTGACCGGTTATACGGCTGCTCCTGTTTTGCATTTCATGATGTGGACAAGCTTCCTGTCAGCATGAAGACGCCATATTACTGCCTTTTCCGACCACATCAACTTCTACGTTATGTGCACTATAAAAAAGGTGGAAAGCCGTAAGTCAGTTAAACATTTGTTTGCTTTGTAAGCAACACTGATTCAGCCTGCTTAGCAGCACAGTGCTAAAAATTAAAAATAGGTTGTTCATTAGTCACTTGCTGTAATATTTTGACTTTTCTGCTTTGAATCACCTGATGAATCGGATGTTCACGTCACATAACTCTCCATTTTATGTTTTTTACAATAGCTGTTGGCTATATCAGGGTGTGAGTTGTCCCCGAAGTTCCGGTGATAGGGACCGTATTGTACATTTAAAATAAAATGCATCTGATACGTCCCGTTACACTGCCATTAACAGGGCACTCAAACAGTCGTTAATGTTTTAAAAGAAATCACTTCATAATTCAATTTCTCACAAAGCCAACAAGGCTGTTTGACATAACATTGACTAGTATATCTTATCACAATACGTGTTGTTCTGTTACACCAGGTTTTTCTTATCATGCTGCAAACTACTTTTCGTTCAGAAAGAAACTCTTAAAAAGATGTCAATTTCAAAATTAAGCTACTATTGTTAATGAGTTAATGCCGTGGAAATAGTATAGACAAAGCTAGAAGAAACCCAGAGGCCGTTGTGGACATAAAGCTGAAAAGCAACATCCAAAAAACAAAATTCTACTAAATTACAACAATAAGGCTAGTGACATCAACCTTGGCAACAGCAGAATATTAAACAACAGCACCATCTTTGGCCACTTTGTCGAATCAATCCACCGCATTGAAATTTGCAGAACTAGTGCATCAGGCTTTCGACTCATGTGTCCTTCTTTAACCAAACACACAGAATGTATCGCAACACTCTTGGCGGCATAACCCTCTTCACACGAGCCCATTTAGAGGCTATGAATGGCGCTTCGAACTCTTTTGAAGGCTGGGGTGGTGAAGATGACGATCTCTATAAGCGAGTTCTCTACATCCATCACCGCCCTCAGCGAGCCCGCTTTGACGAGGGTCAATTCTACGAGGAAAATGGAGACAGTCATGTCCGTGATAAGTCGCCTGATCGGTACCGGACATTGGCCAAAAGCAGTCCTCAGCGGATGCTTCAGGATGGACTGCGGCAAACGCAGTACACACTGATTCGACGCAGAGACTACTCAAGCTTTGTTTGGATGCTGATTTTACTGTGAATTGACTTTGATCTACCAGTAGAAGAATTAGAATTTTATATTCATTGACTTTTTACTAATCGCATTTGTTTATCCCTGTGTATAATCTTCTTCTCGGTCAAGCTGTCTCTTTTGTAATTTTTACAACAAGTGGAAACACGAACTTGGTGCCGTTGTGAAGGACGGCTGATCCCGAATATCTTATCAATGCATAATCAGTCATGTGGTGAAGTTGTATAAGTGAACAATTTCCCTTTGGAGGCAGTAAAGGCCGGGTCATCATTCACATCCATTTACAACTTCAACAAGTTAACGCGCTCCGAGTACCAAGGCATGAAGTTGTCCTAGGGGGCGATTCAGGGGCATTAAAGATTCCATTCATCCTAAAGCTTTCCAAGTAACAGTGAAACACTGAGATCAGTGCCGAAGTGAAGCGGAGGACTATGTTAAACTACAGGCATACTTGTTACAATTTGAAGCTAATCATATCTTTTGTAAACTCAAGGCACTGGTTTACCTTGTCTCAAAGCAAGTGAAAACGAAATAGTTGGGGTCAACTTTAATTAACTGAGTTGCATGGGGTAAGGGGATTCCTGTAAAGCAGAATATTCTTACACTCCTGTTACTTCTTTCCCAATGCTAACCACACCAAACGCTGCTGCCGGATCTCACGTGGTGACGATTAATGCCAACTGAATTCTCTCATGTTTTTCTTTTTACGATTACAATTATTTGCCAAAGCTGAATCTACTAGTAAGAGACAGGGAATACCCATGCAAAACACCAGACCCCTCTATATTTGACTTTTGTAAACTCCAAAATCCATGATAAGGCAAACAGATGAATTTCCATATTGCTTTGTAATAAATATCAGTGGTGAAATTAACCATATTTGCAATTGGAGATCTAGTTCTCTCTTGAAGAGATGCAATCCTTTCGCAAATTCTATTTGCACCCAATGTTTTACCAGCAGGAGCAGAAAACTGCAACGTAGCCACCGCAGCTTCCATCACACCTTACCCATAAGTCGTCCATTCAGCCCGTCATGCAATTGTCCGATGCTATTGTCGAGAACAGCTGAAAAGCATCCATAGGAGAAATTTCGGGTAAGATAATGCAGAAGATGAAGATGAAGAAGTGGATGGGTAAGGGGATGAAAAGAAGCTCTTGTCCTCCTCCCATTCTAGAGTGTGGTATAAGGCCTTTCTACAGGTAAGTTTTATGGCAGTACGAGGCATAAGATCCTCTTACTGGATTCTAAATGCTGGAGAAAAAAATATGATTTTGTGACTGCATGTAAACGTCTGCAAATAGGTGAGAAAAGCAAAAATGGCGGAATTATTTTTGTCCCTAAACAAGGACTTCGAATTTTATGAGAGTATTTTATTACCTCTTGCCTCTGGAATATACGTTCTGTGTGATTATTTCCAATTCAAAAACTGAGGCACCAGTTCATTCGGGAAGTAATTATAACATCGTTGAATCAAGATATTTTGCGAGCGTATTTAACTAAAGAAAGAATATCAGCGTTTTTCAGGGAAGCTCGGAACATGATTAAAAGCGTGCTGCTCACGAGGGCATAAAGGTGTACCTAAATAGGTTGATACTCATCTTTCCACAATGTTCACTATAAAGTGCGTTTCATGTCATTAAAAGTCACAAATAAAAGCATTTTTCTTAAACCTTTCTATTAACCCCAGTGTCGGCAAGACAGGCCATGGCGCGATTGACTTATTTATCTTCAACTGTGGGCGGAAAGCGATATAAATAATCGTCATTCACAAAGTTTAGCTTTATAAGGCTCGTGTAAGAGAGATGTTACTCTCTTAGAGATGGTCACATGGGCTCAGCGAATGCCCAAGCGCTCAGCACTCGTCCGTGTCCAATGGAAAACTGTAGTCAGACTTTAGGTATAATTCTTAAAACGCGAAAAAATTCACAGCGATTTCAAGATCTAGTTGTTTTGCGGTTATAAATCGGAAGGCGAACCAAAGTGCTTCGATTAAAGCTAACATAATGAAATCCTAAAAAGGTAATCAAATACGCTTTTCCCGTGACATCAAGGAGGAATTTTATACAGGTACGAGCAGACATGAAGCTTTTCTTACAGTTTTACAAAATTAAGGGAAACTAAATAATTCAATAAATTTAAGCATTAGACAGAACAAAACCATATATAGCCTTCTATACACCTCTAAAATGTTTAAAAGTGTCTGTATTAAAATAATCAGCTAAATACATAAAAGTTACACGTCAGCATCGTAAAACTAAACCTGCCTTCGGGTCTTTACTGTAATTCTAAACAACTTTTGTCAGCAAACACAAATCATGTTCGCTTTGTTAATTACAAATACTTAACTGGACGTCATGCCAATTTACATCACAAATCCTTTCTCAATATCTAAACCGACAACAAATATCCTTAAGTTTCTTTGCCGAGGAAGAAATAAGGCATGAAATTATAATTTTCAGTCGGAAAGAGCCTCTGCTTATTTTTCCATTTTCCACAAACTACGAATTTCCCATCGTAACGAGCGTTCCATAAAGAACACTGTAGAATTAGTAATTATTTTGGAGGCAAGTATTGCTATTTACTTTAAAATTAAACTAAAAGCACTGGTTGAATAAGGTTCAGAAAGAAAACAGAAATTTGGAACCTTTAACCAATTCTTCTTATAAGTATATGTCCTTCTAACTAGTAAATTATAGATAATCACAATGTGAAGGAAGCATAGTGTATTTGTGCAGTGATTATGGTATGCTTAATTACAAATGTGAATTTGTTTATGTGTACCCTGAACTAACGGCTTGCTGCTAAGGTGCTACAAGCTGCCTTAATTCAAATATAGGAGGTTACCTATTCTAATGCGTGGCCTCTTTGCTTCAGCATTAATCAACCTCCGTAATAGCGTCATTAAACGCTGCTGAAAACTCTCTGGTTCTCACGCATGATTGTAGCCAAACTAGTTGCAAAGTCGAATGCTTTATAACCTCTTCTGGTGGCAGCAATTGGGTAGACTGGATGACGTCATTACACTTTGCGTATAAAATAAGACTTTTTCAATAACCGTGTAACTTTGGGGAAATTAGATAATTTGTGCGAAAAAAGTAATAAGGGGAAAGGCAGCTGACATGGTCGGCTAAAATCGCAGCGTCATTAGGAAGAACAAATTTGCGTCTCATGTTTAGTACTAACCCAGAAGATTATCCAGGTTTGTCAGGATTATTTGTTTAGAAGTTGTCTCATCTCGCTAAAAATAATCGTGCTCTTTCTGCTTTGTGGTTGATCTCGACTCACTCAGATGTTGTTTTAGTGGCTGACACAAGAAAGATACTTTTGTTCATGCAAAGCCTAATGAAGCCCTTTTTTACCTAAAAATGCAATCGACTCTGGCATAACCACCGTCATCACAGAGAAGGCTATAAGGTTTTTGCTTTGAAAAAGGGTCTATTGGGTGGTCATTGTTATTTTTTCCTGTAAAAGACTATCGAATTTTTCAAAATAGCGAATGTAGGAGATCCAGTACTCGCTTAGTTTTTTGTAATAGTTTTGAAACCGAGTGGTTACAACAGTACAAAAACAATGCGACCACTTTCTAACATTTATTTACATTTCTTTACTACTTAGTTTATTGTCGCATCAAAATCATCTGCCGGCAGAGAAGCATTCGTGGTCCCGGTGCACTTTCTGTCCTCGATACCTAGCACAGGCCAGAGTAATATATCTTCTCAATAAAGTTATTTTATAGTACTCACAGCACTTTTCACCTCGGCTAAGCCATAAATTTGGCTGAATAGGTACAACAAAGTTGTGACTTAATGCGCTCGAACGTAATGATTTCCAACGTATCTATTTCAAATTTACCACATACGTAAATTAATTATTGTTTGTTAGATTATTCGGAGTATTTTTTCAGTCAAGCAATTAGTCACCGACTCAAAGATGATAACTTGCTTCCTTAAACTGTTAAGCGTCCAAAAAGGCAAATGTTATCAAAAATCTACTCTATAAAACTGGTAAAGAAGAAATAAACACAGTTTAACACAAACACAAAGATAGCATTGAAACTAAATGCATTTTAATAAAAAAAGTGATACAGAAAGTAC